CAAAGCCCAACCGCCATGGACAGCTAGCGTAAGATATACAGGTCTCTGAATATCTGCTGAATATACATGAGCACTCTTCCTTGAGGATACTACACCATGTTGTCTCTCGAGATATGTTCCTTCTTTCGTCTTTTCCCACACTGTGAATTTGACAGGACAAGGAAGTCTATTTTCTAGCTTCAAAGGAGAACTAATAGAAATTTTCCAATCATAAACAGGTGTATTGAGGTCTGTATGAAGAACTGACGCATCTGCTCCTACACTGAGCCATAATGGCTTACTCCCAGTAGAAGGCTGGCAGCAGAAAAGCATATCCTTCTTCTCAAGCTGGTTTAATTTCAAAGAAAATGCAGATGCCCTACTGCTTTGCTTTGACAGTATTCTGCCGAGTCAGCAAACCTTGATCAACAAAAGGTTGATCTTTTCCACAACCAAACTCACTGCGGTGCAACAACCCCATGCATAGAATGATGAGGGTTCTCAGCCTTTGCCGGACGTGCAGGCACTGTTCATTATCCTTTGATAAACATCCCCATGGTAAAATATATGAAGATCTAGAGGCAATCACAGCATTATGATTGCTTACTCCAGAAGAGACATTCTGATCGGAAGATATAGATATCTCTAAATTGACATCTGAATCATTTACAACTGTAGCTAAACATCTGAATGTTGCGTGCTTTCTCCCATTTCTCATAGAAACTTCCATTGCAATAAAATCATTTTGTAGTGATTTTGGAGCAATACAGAGTGGAAGCAGTGAGCGAATGCTATGCCATGAGTCATCAGGGCGAACTCCAATCCAGAAACCAGTGTCTCCGTCAACAAAATCCTTACTTTCCATATTTCTTAGTGTGTTGGGGATTGTAGTCTTCTCAAAGTAAGATGTTGAGATAAGCAAGCACCCGTTGTCATGTTTATCTTCAGCATTCTTTATTTCATGATAAAATAGAGAATTGAGAATGCATGTTATAAAAGGTTGAGATATACGTTAACACACCCTAGTATAAATGAAAAACAGCTAACCTTCCTCTGAAGCGAATACGAACTTATATTCTCGGCATCACTTGATTGATGTAGCATCCTTACTGAAGCTACCTTTCGAAGCGTACTTTCACCATGACCAACAGGAAACGAAAGTGACCCAACGACTTCCCCTGTAATAGTCAATAGCTAACTATCATGTAGCATTTGTACAATCTCGACTCATTGTGAACTCTAGGAAAAATGTCCAGTAATATTTTATTCACGTATCAGGTGCGAACAATCCAAGGACTCAATGAAAAATAAACAATGCCAATTCAATCTCAAAAAGAACAAAATCACACACATAAGGAATAGTTAAACAGGTCAAAGAAAAGAGCCTTAAAGTAATAGGATTGAACCTTTTCCAGCTTAGCAGCAAGGTTAGTTACCTCAACCTCCAATCTGGCAACTCCCTATAACAATTAAATTATATTAAAAAAAAAAAAAAAAGATACTCACATGAGATAAGTTCCAAATCATGAAAACTGTTTCCAGTTTAGAAAGGAATATTGTCGACAGACATACCAATCTAACTTGTACCACTAACCATCTAAATCAGAATGTATACTGGGATAGCAACTAGGCTTAATCGCTTATGTATACCGCATATTTGAAGAAAACAGGAGATATGAAGAAAGGAAGCATAATATTAACTGTTTCCTTATGAACTACCTTCCGCGGAATTTCAAAAATAAAAAGTTCATTCCACTTGGAAGTGCACTCCATCAAGTCGTTGACAATTGTAATGGACGGCTTGACGCACTTTGTCCTAGCACTTTGAGGAAAAAGCTTTTGTGGTTCTGCACCCTGACTATCAACAACGAGGCGTAGGGTGCAAAAGAAATTGTGACTGTTACCATCATCAATGATATGCAAACCCTGAACAAAAAGTGAAAGTGCCATCTTAATCATACAAATTTCTAACAAGCCACTGTAAGTATTTCAAATGATGCTAAAATACTTGTATAGAAACCTTAGCCTCAAGAATCTGTACAGTCATGTAATTGCGTGCTTCTCTAGAACTGTCTGCAACATTTAACCTATTGGAGAACCTTGGAGGCGGAACCCAGACAGAAGTGTTTTCGTCGTGACACAATTTCACAACTACATCTGAGTTCTCCTCCAGCTTTTTCAGATAAATGTCACGCCCGAGTTTATTCTCTACCACAATGGTTTGAAAATCATCTTCGTCAAGAGCTGAAAAAGCTGAAAGATCCCCACTCTCACGAGAGGCAGCTGATTCCTGCAACACAGCAGATTAGTAAGTGACAAATTATGAAAATTAATACTTTCACAAAAAAAAAGAAAAAAAAATTATACTGTACTTCTTTCATTTTGGCCGCTCTTTCTTCAAGTTCTAATTGCCTTCTCCATGAAACAACGGCATCGCCAAGAGTTTCAAGGTTTGCAGCACTAACATTTATGTTCAAAATGTTAGTAGTAGCAATTCGCAGCCGTTTCCCTGGCCTTGATGATTGGTTCAGAGCAGTATCATATGTTTCCAACCTACAACGTGAAAGTGAGCAATCAAAATATTATTTCAAATACCAAAATTAAATGCAGTTTTATTTTCCAGTTAAGTCGCATCATAAATAAATAAAAACAATACTGTCTTTACTTGAATATTCCATCAAATGGCTCCAGAAGCGGCTCCCACGCTTCCAAATGCGGGTTAAATGTTGAAGCAGCAATTGAGGAAATGAGTACTGCATTCATGCCTCAGGACGACCATGAGTTGCTAGCTTGATATTGGTGACAGTTGTGTCAAAGAGAGGAGTCATCTGGAAGAATTCAGAATAGGATCAAGATGTAAACACTGGGTTCCAAAAAATCGGCTAATAACTTTGACATATAACATACCATTCCATGTAATCCATCTAGAAGTGTCAGGGAGAAGCATCTCAGCTTAATTTCTGCATTTACATTTTCCTGTGTCTTCGGTTTTACAGATTCTCCAACAGCGAAAGCCATTCGACTTGGAGGCCTTTTATGATCAGAACGTGCAATAAAAGTACATGCCTACACAAGGTATCAGCAAGCTATCAAGATTGGAAAATACTTTTCACTATGTGGATAGTAGCTATTTCACAGAAACAGAAGGTCCTACAATTCAATGATAACTATTGGGAGCCTTTAAAGAAAAGAGACACAACATCAAAAGTTAAATGGGTTGTCCAACCTGATTATCAACTTTCCAAATGCTCCAGCATTGAGAAGACTTTGAACTTGAAGATCTCGTGACAAAAGGTTCAGAAATGTTGGCCTGGTTAACAAGATCGATCCTTGGACAACAAAACGAATCGACATGAGGCGCCTCATCAAATTTAGAGAGAACACATCCTAGAGAAACATAACCAGGAGGTGCAACAGGAATCCAGCAGAAAACTTCATCAAAGCCTTTCCCCACAATATGAGCGACTTTATTGAACTGCAAAGGTTTTGCAGCAATGTCAGAGTCATCTGCTTTGAAGAGTATTCCCAGTGCAGGTGGCTCCAATCTAATGTGAGAAGAAAAACTCAAAGGTTATACAACATTTGTATAAGAAAACAGTCCTTTCACGGTAGCTGTTATAGAGACAAAGTAAAAGTTAGATATTTACTAACCCTTCAATTATGCTATCACCCAATATTGCAAAACCAGGACGTGGAATAGGCCTCCATATTGAAACAGGTCTACGAAGATCACCACCCTTGTCCCACCAGATTCTCTCAAAATTAGGAGTTGAAACATGATAACTAGTTGGCTTAGAAATTGACCTGAGAATGTCCCATCCTGATGAACTTCCAGTCTGAATACTTGTTTCGCTCCGGGACCCACTTGTCGATGATGGGTCAGAGGATGAAGATGCCTTCGACTGAAGGGGATTCCAAAGAAGACAATGACTGAGGCCAGAGCTATATTTTTTGGAAGGAGCTGCAGTTGAAGTGTGAGCATAGAATGATCCAAGAACATTATCAGCACGCCAAATGCTGAATCCAGATTCCAATAATGAACTGGAGGGAACGGTGTATATGCACTCAGAGAAACTGCTGGAAGATACAAGGTCAGACCTTAGACAATAAACAATGTGATCAGGTGGTGGCTCACTTCCTATATTTGCAACACAACCCATAGCAGTGTACCCTACAGGAGCTACAGGCATCCAGAGGGAACACTCATTGCTATCACGGGAATGCTGAACATTAGCCCCGTCTAAACCTTGAATAACAGAGAACAGGCCAATACGATTAAACCCTATCGGCTTCCTCACACGCCCATATGTATTACTTACTGCCATTACAGCTTGTGTAGGAGGAATTGCCCTGTAAGGAAATTTTTTTAAGGAATTAATGATATAATGTAGCTGTAACCTCAAGAAGAAGAAAATATATGTACACTGAACCAAACTCTTGTTAAACAATTGTAAGCACTGGCACCAACATGTTACACCCAACTACCTGTTAAGCTAGCAACTCTAATATAACAAGAGCTTGCTAATTTCTGTTACGGAAATGGTTTGATATGAATTTTCTGGACGCAGTTCAAAGCTATTAATGAGTCTGAATAGATAAGTCATGACGAAACAAAAGGTTTGTTTTGACCCTTAAGAACTTTTTTTGTGCATAGACAAATAAAAGGGACTATAACCATAGTAAGCTTTGTTGTAGGGATGAAAAAAATAAAGCAAAAGATACATAACAATGAGATATACATGCAACCAGATGAGCAACTTATTATATACTTACCTTGACGTCACACAGTCTCCCAATATGACATAGTTTGAAGGAGCCTGCGGCCTCCAAATTGTGAGATTGTTCCTAGGTCCATTTTCTGCTCACCATCCCCAAAATGAAATAATCAATGTAAAGGAAATAGACTAAATGTTCTTTATAATCTACAGTTTAATTATCTGAGACAGTTGCTTAAGTAGATGGAACATGATGACCAGAAAATCAAACAGCTTTAAGGTTAAACCGTGCCACATAACTTAACTGATGTCATACCTTTTGGTGAAACCCAAATCCTGTCAAAGTTGGTGCATGAAGCTAAAGGAATAGCATTTCCAGACTGTAAAGCTCCAGTTACTTGGCTCTGCAGATTTAGTAGGAGAGAAAGAGCACTCAAAGAAAGGTGCATGTATATGTCAGTGGAGGTTAAGGACATATTTGTTTTCTCTTTGACAGAAGTGTATCCCCCAGAGATATCGACTGGATCAAGAATGATAAGACCAGAACCAGTTTCAACAACCAGGTTCTTTAGCAAGGCTCGAACCCAGATGTCATTTTCTTTTGAAGCATACCTGTTGAAACAAGAGCAAAATACATCAACATTGTAACACTTAAGATCCATTACGCAACTAGTTTAGAAAAAAGCTGGTTTTCAATGTCACGAGCAGGATGTAGTGGTGGTCAGATGGGGAGGTTACTTTAGTACAATCCTTTCCTTATACAGGCATATAGATAGAGTAATCAAGTAATCATATTTGTGTCTGTGGAAATATTGGGTTGTTGCCCTCAGACCTAACTGTCATGTATGACAAAATGATAGACTTAAATCACTGATTGGTTTAGAGAACGCTGCACTTACATAAAATTAAAATCCAATTTCACTCGCAAAAGCTTTTCTACAGCAGAGGAGTCATCCAGAGATGATTTTGTACCATCAAAGAACGTGAACTCAGGAGAAACAATCTGCAGAAAAACAAGCTATGAATTTGACAAACAGCAAAACAAGAATGTCTGGTTTCCTTATTCAGATAGGCCTGGAATCCAGAATTTGTGGTAGATTACTCAAAGAAGGTTGAGGAAGAGACCTCTATATAACCAAATGCTATAAGTCAAAAGGGAAAAAGAATGATACACCAAAATCAGGGAGTAACGACTCAATAAGTAAGGTAACAAGTAAAGAGAGAAACCATGCATTAAAAAATATAAAAATAACTATACAGTAGGCACTCAATACTTCAAAAAAACACGTGAAAAAACAAACGAAAGAAGTAAACCTACCTGAGCTTCAAAGGTAAAACTCTGACCAGACTTCGAATCATATTGACAAGTGTCTGCAACATCTGATGATTTGTGCGCATTGCTAAGCACATTCTCCGGATTAGATGAGGCATTTTCTAACATTGAGATGTCAACACCATCTTCCGGAGAAAATAAACAGCTACTATCGTTACTCAAGTAAATGCACTTGCTCAGAAGGGATCCATTCTGCCACATGCATAAAAGGAAAAACAGAAAACAAACAGCTAGAATAAATCAAGAATCTAGGGAAAAGGGGAGTGTGGAACAATGATTACAACAAGAAAGTTCCATCTCCTATCCTCGCTATAGGTGCTTAGCAAATGTATAGAAATTTACTCTGAGCATGCCAAGTGACTATGTAAATACATAAGTATGTATTAAATACTAAATTGTTTAAAAGAGAGAAGAGTCTCAACCTTAATTTTCACATTGACGAAGCGCAACTTCTTTCCATGCCCAACGATTATGATGGGTTCTAATCTTCCTAAGTTTAAATCCTTCTCTCCTTGCTCACTCAACGAGATTACCTTTCCGCATCCGTCATAGGTATACTCATCAATGCCCAGTGAATCTGCTAATAACTGTCTACATGGGGACAAGTGCACGACATCTTCTGTCTGTTTATAGAGAGGCTCAGAGAGAACTATGCCACTACTTCTGGTGATTGGATCATTTGTTGGATCTAATGTTTCATCTCTTCCTGTTATTGCACGCAAAGCTGGAACAAAAAATTCACCAACCGCAAGAAGGAAGTCAGGAACAGCAAGGATACGAGGTTGTTGCACCCGCAAAACACATGACTGAGAGGATGCTCGCCATCTATAATCCATCAGCAACATCGTGGAACATGGTGCATCAAAATCAAGAACAGCCCTAGAGTTGGCTCGCTTAAAGCTGCCCTTATTAAGGGAAAAGGGAAAAGATTCAGAAGAAGCTTGCTTGGAAGCATCGACCGATGAGCCGAGCATCAGTCGCATTTCAGGCTTTGTGTTAGGGCGGATATCAAGAACTGAAACTTTAGGAACTGACACATACAAATCTGTCTCAGATAGTGATGTCATCCTGTAGGATACCCATAATCCTTCAAGCTGTGAATGAAAATTTGGTATCTTAGATATCTGGTATAGTTCCTAGATAACAAAATGTACAAGGAAATAGAAGCATTAGGCTCAGAAGCACGTACCGCAACATGAGCTAATGGTGACTCTTCATTAACACTATTACGTAACTCGAGAAGAGCATAATTGATATCAACAGCCAGTATGGTAACTGTACGTGACATTATCATCTGACTATTCAAGTTGACTTTGTCAGCCAGTAGACGCATTTTAGCTTTGGGACCAGAACTGCTACCACGGAAATCTGGAGGTAGCTTTGGCTCCTCAAACAAATTCATGGATGTGCAACTTACAATAATATCATATTCTTTGTCAGACATCACAGCATGCAAGAAATCAATCTGACAGCAAATATTGAGAAAATAATTAGTCCTAAGAAGTGACTGGATACCAGTAGTTGAGAATGTAACAAGTTTATCCATAGTATTTAGGGATGATAAACAAAAAAAAAAGACACTGTAAGATGACTCCCAGTTTCACGCTTGCCTAAAAGGCAATGATTAATATAAAATTTAAAAATTGTGATTATTCCATAGCAAGGCAATCCTTTGAAGATAATAACGTTTATAAGCATAGTCATCCCTAGTCTAGCAATACCAAAAAAAACTTGCTTTGTTTAAAATCCAGGTTCTTGACACCGAAAGCAAATATTAGAAAGTAAACTTGTACCTTAACCTCAACCGAAAGTGTTGGGACTTTCTGAAAAACATCTCTTAGGCTGCGCCGGACAAAGATGTCCAATCCTTGGCCTTCACGTATCATTGGTTTACCAATTGAACCATTTATGCCTACTGACATATTTAGTCCAAGAATCTTTACAACAAAAACCAATATAAATAATCATCAGGCTAAAGGGTATTCATTCCTCATGTTAAATACAAGTGTTCCAAACTTTTTGTAATATATATGTACCTTCGCATGAAGAACATCTACACGTACAGCATTGTGATCTTTCTCCGGACCCCCATGCCAACTTATTTCATTTGATACCTCCAGCTGACCAAGGTCAAGTTGAATGTAACTGCAGGAAATAGAAATGTGTTGAGATTATGCCACGATTCAGAGAAAAAGTTGAACTAAATCTTTTGGAGATTCAGCTAAAAAAAAAGCAATATGTAGTAGGCCTCAAGCTTTCAGAATATTTAGACCTACAGCCGAAAGGCCAGAATCTACGTAAACTATTTAGATGTCAAGTATTACGCTGTGATAACTGATATACCAAGGTGTCAAAAGCGCTAGAGAGCCATGAAAAGTTATGTGTTATCCTAAACCTAATAGATATTTGATAAGATAGCACATTTTAAGAATTACCACACTCTATTTCTACTTACTCCTTGCTCAGAGAATCTCTAGGGACAACAATTATTGGAGTGTCTAACGAAAGGTCCAGTTTCACCGCAGTAGCACCATCCATTTCATCTTTCTGGATTAGCCACTCAAAGCCTCCAACTTTGTCAACAAGTTTAATGACTTCTTCGGAATGAGGAGTAGCAAGTCCCATGAAATATGCTGTAACCTGAAAACCATTTCATTGGGTTGTTCCACAATAAAATGATGTCCAAACAAGAGCATTTGTATAAGTTTCGATTGCATTCCAAATCGATTAGGTAAGAGGCAGGTTCAGTGATCATGGTACCTCTTGAACAAATCTGTAGAGGAATACAATGCGAACAGCCGATAGTTTACCAGATAAGCTATAATCATAACCTTCATAGTCGTCGTCTCCAGCACTGTATGAACTGAATTTGAACTGCAGTGTACAACAAGAATCAAGCAGATGCACAAACACATTCAAACAAGAATCAACAATATCACAAAAACAGGAATAGAACCGTCAGAAACTTTTAGATAATATTCAATACCTTGATAAGAGACTCAACACCAGGATCACGTATGTCACAGAGCCAACTCCAACAGTTTCCAGAGTCTAACGACTTGTCACAGAGTTTAAAATTTCCAAGAGTCCCTTCTATTGAAAGAGAGCTCGGGTGAACCTTGAAAAAAAAAACAAATTTAGCCAAAATACTAGTTAACAAAAACTGATTCTCTGTGATTAAATCATTTTAACTAGAGGACCAACTACAAATTCAACTTTTGGAAACCCAATTACAAAAGTATCATGAACAAATTTGATTTTCTTGTACTATTGCATAGGGCCAAGATTAAGAGAAAATTATAATAAAAAAAATCAAATACGTCAAATAAGATGCCCCAGGCCAATATATCTTACCTTAATGTCCAACACAAATCGTTCCTGCACAAACATCGCAAGCTGAGAACCATCCTCCTTGTTGAGAAACACAGTCACATTATCAACATTCATGTTCAGGTAAAACACTACACGATCCTTGCCATATCCAAGTAAGCCTTCAATGCGTCCACTTTCGTCATTTGTTTCTTTCTCACTATCAGATTTCTCAGGTACCGAAGTGTTGGCGTCTTTATCATTTTCGATATATGATGCAGTGCTCAAGTCAAATCCAAAACCAATTAGAGCAACAACAGTTGGTCTGCTACAAAAGAACTCCAGTTTTGACATGCGAATGCTCATCTGGAATTGATTTCAAACAGAACTTAGTAAAGCTGATAAGAAATATTTGCGGCACTAAGATGTCCTCCCATGGTCTTCACTACATACCTGTGTGTCAATTCCATTATAATCGTGGGAACTGGAGCTCCTTGTCAAGAAAACAACTGACACAAAATCAGAAAATTCACCACCCTGCACCTCATAAAATACCTCATCGCAAAGACCTTTTCCCTGAGATGTATCTTTTTCATGAAATACTCCTTCAGTATCCTGGAGTCCCACATGTTCATCGGAGTCCATCATCATGCTGCATTGAATCATATCCATATCCGGAGTACCTGGTTCTGTAGGTGACAGAAACTCTGGCAAAGCATCTGTGTAGGCATCTTCATCATCTGCATGTCCTACAGGCATCTCCTTGTCGAAAGAATCACATGTTCCTAATGAGTCTTGTATGTCTTCGTTCTTCAGGACCGAGTAAGCCAAATATTGAGCACTTCCTGTCTGCTGCTGCTGGAGTTCATCTTTGATTTTCAGAGAGTGCAACTTTGTCCTAACAGTTAAGCCACTCTCGGAACTTATCACGTGCACCTGCAAAGCAAACACAATTATGCCTCCATCAAACTAGCTTATAAGTGGAAGAAAGGCACACATCCAAGCAAAGGAAAACTTGAAAAATGGTGCTCCTAAGATATGCAACATGATTAGCAAACAATACACTAAGAACTTATCATTTACTAATCCTTAGTCAATGGCTCTGTTGGTAGTTTCCATCTCATCATCAATAGCTTAGCCAGGCTTAATGAATTGATAATACTTTAACCAGAACCCAAATTTCATGAGGTTAGATTGTCTAAGTTTCGCACACCCAGTAGGCCTTGTCCTTTTCCCCTTCTCTCCTTAGTACCCGCGGCACAAAACACACTGTATATAACTCACTACCTCAAAACTCAACGCAATGAAAGATGTCCAACAAACACAAACCTTTCCTCCGGAAGCAAGAACTTTAAGAAGCAGAACCTCTTCAACCTGCTCATCACATTCATCCTTGATCTGCGGGATATATAGGATTCAAAAAGTCAAGTAAAAAACAGGCGAAGTTGCTTTCACATAATCTAAATGGTTTGTCAAGAACCTACGAATGTTCCTAATCAATACGGCATGGTATAGAAATAGCCCGCATATAAAAATATGTCAAAAGTTGATCACAGCTAACCTTTCCATACAAGTACAACTTCGTCTCAACCAAAGCACCAGTAATAACAAGATCAGCAGCTTTCATATTCCTGGTCTGAGGTTCATGGAAGTCACCATCACCATCACTCGTTTGACCAAGTACATCCCCCGACAAAGGAGCCTACAAAAGGAAAAGATTTTTCAGCATTCACCCAACACGACCATTGCAGTAAAAGCCCAGAGAAAAGAAGAAAGGAGATTTTATAGACAGACAGAAGCTTGATAGGTGGCTTGGACCAGTCCTCTCAGCCAAGCTGCCTTCTCCTCCCCCTGAAATTCTATGATCCAGGTGCTAGAAGATTCCAGGGCCTGAAGAATGCATAAGATCCATCAGATAAACAGAAATGAAACTACCACAAACAAAGCAAGGTTGTAAAGTAATATGTGTGAGCTGGCTTTTTCTCCAGTATAACACCGAAAGCAACTTCAATAAAAGTAAGATCCAGAAAATCATAACACTATCAACCATCTTCTTGTTCAGGTTAGGTAGTCATTCCCCGAATTAGCAAGTATACCCAATTCACCAAGAGCGTATATTTTATTCCCTGGACAGCTTACAAATTTTTCGGTTCTATTATGACTCCTAATACAATAAAGCAGCTTAGCGTACCTTTTTAAGATCTGTTCCCCTTGTACCGACAGCAAGACAGTATGGGGAACCACCAACATTTGCGGGTGGAACCTCGAATACTTGCCTACCAGCCATGCTGCACATAGAAACTTTATACTTTAAACGTCTTAACACATGCAAAAGTCTTTGTATTTGAAAAAGTAACTTGACAAAAAAAAAAGAGAGACAGAGGAAGAAAGTACATAAAAGAAAATAATGAATAAAAATAGCACAAACCATAAATAACGTTGATAGTCAAGTGACTTCTCTGATTCAAATGTATACAGATATAAACCAGATAGAACAAGGCGACAAGATTGCCAAGTAGCAACAGAGTTGCCAATTCCCTGAAAAAAGTATCTTCCATAAAAATCAAAGCTAATACAGATCACCCAAGCTTAAAAAGTACATATATATTATAATGGATACCTTCCAAACTAAGATTCTAGCATCACTAGCCAGATCTGCAGGACTCCAAGGTTGGATTCCATCTGGCATGTGATCAACAGGAGCTTGACTGTAAGTTTTCATAGCACCATACAAGATGTCGAACAATTGCATGATCCTCATATATCTTGTTGGAGAGAAATGAACACCAATATTTGGCACTTGGATCGAAATTCTAGTGGAGGGGTAACTTGGGTGAGGTACTTTGATCTTCAGCAAGAAATAGATCCGTGTCAAGTAGAAATGCCTCGTTGTAGCAATTGACTCTTAAAAATAAAATATCAAGCAAGGTAATACCTGATCAACAATAACTGCCATTCCACACCTATCAATAAGGGAATAAACGTTGTCCGCTTTCTCTAGAATGGGAGACAGAATTGTCTGATTAGTGAAATCTTCCATGACTAAACTGCAAACTTGGTTGTCAGATCCACAGTCTGTAAAGAAAGCAGCAATATCTCTTCCCGAAATGCAGAACCGGGAATATAAGTTTTGCCTTTGCTCCTCAGACCGAGTATCCTGCAATTGTACAAGAAATATAAGAAAACAGAAAAGATTAAGAAACACTAGTAAACTCGAAAGGCTGGTCTAGAAACTTACCATGGTGGTTAACGTAAAATTACCAAAATCCAAGAGGAAATGGCTACTGCACTTGGACGATCCTGAAGCCCTCAAAGGAATTCTCACCTTTGGAGCATCAAGATCAATGTCGAGAGCAAATCTGAGAAACCAAAGGCAAAGTATAAAGGAAAGCTGGTGAAAATTATGCTACTTGTAAACAATGATAAAATAATCTGATCTAATTTCCAACAGACTACAGGGACAGAAGATTGTGTTCCATGCAACAAACATTCCACTTAAGTCACTACCAAATGGTCCAACTCAGATCATATGGACAAAGACAAAAAGAAGGATATATAAAGCCCAGTTAAACTGTTCGAACCTGCTTTGTTCCTCCAACACTATTTGAAGTTGCTCTTGAGCCCGTCGAGTCACTTCCTCTAGTTTCATCTGTAATTAGCGGTGCAAATAAAATTAAATGCCATGGAACGTATGCAGGAAAATAAACGTACATAAATCTATGAATGTTCACCTCAAAGGATCATACATGTCTTATTTTCACCATGACAATATAAGCAAAAAATCTATGTAAGAGACAGGGTAAGGGTAATACCTGAAGCACAGCAGCAGTTTCCAGTGCAACAGTAGGGCTAACTGCATTACTTCGCTTCACAAACTCTAATACACGATCATAACTTTCAGTCCAGATCTGCAAATACGTAAAAACCTCCAGTTGTGCTCAAAGCAGTGGTGCCAGATAGAAAGACAAAAGAACAATATAAATAGGGGGCAAGGTGGAACTATTATGCAGAAAATTATCAAGACAGAATAAAATGAAATAACATAAAGGCCATCAAAAGAATCGAACTAAGTCAATTGAAATATTCTAGAAGATCAAACAATCTTCAGGAGCTACGTAATTCAGACGTATTCGGCGTCAAAAATAAGATTGAAGAAAACAAGTCTTCCTATCCCCTTGCACCAGGTTATCTAAGAAAAAAATTTATCTATTCTGAATGAGTGTTAGTGATCCCTTGGTAGCAGCTGGATTTGGTGTTAAACTTTATTTTGTCTCTAAGTATATACAACTGAATTCCAAACATAGAAAACATAGGACCACAAGAGTTACAAGTAATTCTTAAGTTCAAAGAAAATTTAACAACATATAACCTTCTCCCTCCATAATTTCCAAAAGGGAAGCACGCAGCATACAGGGGATTTAAATTAAAAACCACTCTCTAAGGCCCAGACAATTGACAATTCCCCATTTTCAGGAAACCATGCACTTTATTCAATGCCACCAGCTAGATAATAGATAGAAGCTGCTATACTCTGGACGAATCTTAAAGTTATGCAAATATTAGGCAGATCGTAAGCGTCCATGTTTCAAGAGTATACATATAATATATGAAGAGATTACCGTAGCATGACAAGGGGATATCGTGGCTGATAGCCTCCAATCAATGTTCTCTCCAATTGGTGCGTTCACAAAACTAGCCATCAAGGCATTTGTCTTTCTCTCACTGGATACACTCTGCAAAGCCAATATGAAACAGAGAGGGGAGGAGGGAGGTCAAACTTCATTTTATAGGCAGGCATATAGTATCTTATCACAGATATTGCTGACCCTGTTTATATGGTGAAAATTGAAAACAAACCTGCGCTAGTGAACCTTCTGGTGCAGATAACCCATAGAACCTCAGTGATACATCACACTGACTACTTCGATATTTGAACTTGGTCGTGACATCGAGCTGCTCAAACCTACCACACAGCACCTCAGTCTGATTTATATCAACAATCCTAGCCGCACCTTGACCAATTGATACCGTTACAAGAAAGTGAGTCATATTCTGCATGTCTTTTCCTGAATACAAATTCATCTCTTCATCTGGCTGATGACTCAGTAACTTATTTATGGCCTTCCATTCATCTGTAGTCAATCCTTCCTCCATCAATTTTGATCCGTCAGCCACACTATCTACCTCAGGGTTATCTTTAGCTTCTGTCCGCCTTCATGGATATGGAAGCCACAAAAGTTAGAAAAATAAAATGGTTTCCACCTGTGATGTTGCATTCATGACTGCAACAGGAAACAGAAACTGAACAGCCAGAAAAGCAAGAAAATATATTTAGAAGGCAGCAGCAAACCCCACTGACCATTGGAATGAGAACCAACCACCCTTTTTCAGCTTTCTCTGCTCAGCTGCTTCTTTTGACTTTACAGATTCTACCTTTGCATGTGCAAGCAACCTATTACGGCAATACAACAATAATAAATGATAAGATAAGTCGGACAGAAAAAAATACATAGACAGAACAATGACTTTGAGAATCTCAATGAAAATAGAAAAGAAGAATGGCTGAGCTTGAACTTCTTATGAGTAAAAAGTAGTATGATAAGACTAGTAGTAATCAAACATTTTATCAAATCTTTCTGTAAGTTTTCATCAATGCAGGGCTTGGACATCCAGCACATAAATTATTGCCACGGAAAAAGTGACCATCAGTGTACAAGGCATTCCAAACCACGCAAACCCAATAATTTGATAATTATAAATCAGCAGGTATGTCATTCACCAAGTTTGAGCATTACTTGAAGAATGAGTCAAATTATGTTATATTATGTTACTAAGGTAGAATAGCATCTGAACGGAATAATGTTCTAAATTATAAATTATACACCTGAAAAAGATCACAAACGTACCCAATCATAACAGGGCAGTACCAAAGAAACTACATCAGGACATAGATGCGAGCCTAACTACCCCTATCATAAGCAACAGCTAGCTTAACCACTAGGAAAGTATAAGGCAGATGTCTAAGGGTGATCTACTTCAGTATAATAGAAACTTAACCATGGTCATGTGAACTTCTCAAATAAATTTAGAGAAAGAGTCAGCGGGATAGAATCCCAATGGTATGCATCAGAAGGTGGGATTTGATCATGTTAAGAAACCACATGCTTTCTACCCAAAATATTGGGGTTTGATTATTACCTCCACAAGAGAATCACTTTGGAATCAAGGTCCTTTTCGATTTCTCTCATCTCTGGGTAATTAGCATCTGATGACTGCTGCAGAAAATTGGCATACAGCTGAATATAGCGCCGACGTAACTGGCAAAGATGGTGAATGCTATCCCAGGAAAATCGATAGCTGAAATGGGGTGAATAAATGCAAAAATCAGATCAAAATATAAAATCAATCTACAGATCAAGTGCAGTCATACTTTACCAGAAGATGCTCAAAACTATGCAAGACTAAAAATCAAATAGCTTTGCCAAATAAATGCTGTTTCTTTTTCTATTATGTCAGTTAAATCCTACATGAGAGAGAGTAAAATGAAACAAACGTGTACCATAATCTCTTTTGTTGCAAACTAGCTTGAGCAGCAAACCGCCACCACAAACGTGGAGCTTCTGAAACCGGAACCATAGGCCTTAAATGTGAGATCTCTATATATGTTTTGTATCTGGAAACAACTTCGACTAGCTTTATCCAATCATGATATTGCTCCTGTTAAGAAAAAAGGAGAAAGACAAAATACAAGAGAGTTAGTTTCGCACCTCAAGAAAAAAGAAATCGCGAAGCAGATGCTAATGGGTCTCAGAAAGTTGGAATACAGAAAGAAGAAATTAGAATCCACAAGAAAAATTTACGGCTAACCCTGAAGGAAAAATTAGGAACACGTCCCAAAAAAAAAACAGAACCAACTGTATCAAGTACTTTAAGTGGTACCTCTGTAATAGTCACGTTAACATCATTAAGGATAACTGATGCCCTTTCAAATGGAATCTCCGGATTATTTCTCTCCTGATTTCCTAACCGGTGATACTTAAGAGATCCATTGATAGGGGACAATAGATAGTGACGATTCAAGGCCCATTTTGACTTTATTTTATGCTCGGTCTGCTCCTTTATGCCATCTTCAAACATCTGAAGGAAGACGGTCGAAAGTTAGATACATAATACTCAAAAATCATTTCATTTGACTAATAACCAGGGAAAAAACACAACCTAATCACCAAGAAAAAAGTATGTGTGAACAAACCTCAACCCATTCCTCAGGAGTAATATTGTCCCATTGCTTCTCTATTTCCCAGGGAAAGCTATTAGAATCATGATACAGAGCAAGCCTTTCAAGCTGCAACGACTGTTACAAAAACCATGTGCTAACATAAATTTTGGGTTCAAGTCAATAAGTAGCATCATCATCATTCATCACACTTGAGATATTCAATCAACAGACCTCGTAACAAAGTATATTTCAGTTGAAATCTCAGCATATCATTAATTAGCAACTATAACTAGCATTCAATACGAACACAGCAAAAAAAGGGAAACAAAACATTAGAAAAAATAACTAATTGAATAGAAACAAAAAAAAAAGATATAAGAGAGCTTTTTATACTCCCAATAATTCTGGTATAAGAGCCTAGAAGCATTTCTAAAACAGCTACATCATTTATCCATGTCGTTTATGGCAGGAGAAAAATCAAATAAACATTCATTTTAAAAGCCCAATCAATGTTTTTATTGTATTTGAAACCTCTGGGAGATGAGCCCTTGAAGAGACCACAAAATGGGATATCTAAAGAAATGGGATGACAAGATTTGTTTTCCAATTATGAAAAGAGAACTCCAACGTTCCAATGGAATCATAGCTGTTTATAGTCCAAATACACATCTACTTTGAAATATGATGCTTTTTGTCAACTTTCAACTACTTCCCCCAATTAAGAAAAGAAATAAAAAGTTCACCTTACGCAGTTTATCCAAAGCGCCACTTGTGTCAAAGGTCTCATTTCCTTCTTCATCCATTGTAACAGCTGCGAGCTTGGCTAAGGTGATGCCCGCAGCAAAGGGGTGCCCTGGATTACTAGAGCATATATTTTTGAAATAAGAAAAAAGCTAGCACGTACTTCTGAGTCGTCTCTAATAAGCACCAACAACAAAGACACTAAAAGCGAGCACAATAGCTAGATATGGCCACAAAATCAGAAGGGAAAACAGAAACAAAAAGGCAAACAGCCACAAACCTGGTAGAATCCTCGTATCTAATATGTACATTGCTGATGGATACTTTCAGATTACCAATAATCGTAGCAATAATCGAACCTAGCCATGAATTCCCTTGTGGAGGCTGAAAAGAACCAACCATAAAAGAGCTATAAGTTATAAAATGCTTAGCGTATGAGAATCATTTTATCTAGTAGTTAGCAAGGAGTGCATAAATCCTTCGTAAAAGATCATAATTTATCTTCTAATCAGATTAGGAAAGTTCCAGCGTCACACAAACAGATACCCCCTATAAAGAAAATAAGAAGATAACCAAAAATTAAGCTATCAAGTTTAGAGACGTACACTTCCCAGCTTAGATTTTGCCCTTGCTTCAAGAGTTGCTGTTTCTGCTTCCTAGATGTAACAAATGATAACTCAGAATAAAATCAAATCTTGTAGATGAAAATGAAAATCCAAGTTTCATGTATCGATCATATATACAAGTATCCATGAAGCTCCATCAGCCAGAACTACAAAGTACCTCGATCTGCTGAAGCTTGGTTTCTAGAAGCTTTTCCCTGTCTTCCTCCTTGTATGTAATTAGTGTAAGCAAATTCAGTACCAGCCAAAGTGAAAAGCTTAAAGATGAGACAAGTAGACATAAATAACAATTCCAACAGAATACCTTAAGTGTTCGGTCATCAGGGGCGGGATAAGCAAGAACGAAGACACGATCGATCAGAACAATGACTGGCTCTTTCCCTAAACTTTTCCAAGGGACCTGAAACAAAAGTTTGTATGAGTCACTTTCAAGTTTTAGATTTGAAACCTAGCCATAACTACAGGAGTTTCCTGACAAAAGTAGCGTTTGCTGGCATTAAATACAAGTCCAAGTTCAGAAATCACGGTATCACTCTGACTTGCAATCTCCGTGACATTTGACTTCGTATCAAAAGCTTCAATATATGCAACAAACAGAATCACATGCATATATATTTCATTTTTATCCTCCACGCATTATCCAATATTACAATTAAACATGTAACTTTGTATCCCAGAATTCAAAACAATGACCTAAAATTTTCCACTCTGATCACTATTACCAACCAACATGTCCTTCATAATCCAAAATGAAATCAATTTCCAGCACTGCTATTGTATATCATTACATGAGACTGTCACACATGCAAACAGTTCTGGACACGTAACCATTTATAGCTATGTAATCACAAAGTGACTCTTCCGCTCTCTAAATCCTCAAATGACTTTTACATAGATCGGAATTCATATGTGAAGAAAGACGCTGCAAGTAACTCTGGCAAGGATTACCAATCCAGCATAAAGTTCTCGACAACTCAAGTAGGCAAACTTTTGAGAAAGAAGAAATATGCTTTACCTATCAAGCGTACAGAAGAGGAACAGTGATCTTGAGGAAAATCACCAAAATTCCACCAAGAGAAAAAAAATAATTACCTTCAAAGTGATGGTTCCAACAAAACCAGATTTGACAGCTACCGGAAGTTTCAGTGAATTGAGAGCCTCCGCCTTTAACTTCAAATCTTTAAGAACAACATCACCTAAAAAGCAAGAAAAACCAACATCAAAAACAACAACCGACTAGACAGCCAAGGGATTACATCTCTATAAATGTCACTTTTCATAAACCATGAGCAGTCTTTGCACACAAGAATTTTCAATACGCCCTAGATACATCAATATAAAAATAAATTAACATAAATGAAAATACAACCTTTCCAGACACTAATTCTCAGAGCCTCTGTCGAGAGTCCATGCACATATTCACCCAAATATCTCCGAAGCAGATGCAGTACCTGGATACCGATTTGCAATTATTAGATACTTCATTCAATTACTTAAGGGTAGACATGAAACTAACTAAAAAAAAAACTCTACCTAAGAGCAAAGATTTCACTACAATTGCAGAAACTGTTATGTTCCTCATTTCTATTCTAAGTGTCAATACACTATTCAACTAATTACTTCTCCAGTAACAGCTACCATTGCTGCTCTCACAGATGCTAAACTAAAAACCCATTTTGTTATCCATAGATAATTCCAACACATTCCCCTACGATAAGAGAAGCTAATCAATCACCCAGAATCACATTATCACAACAACGAACTAAACCAAACACATAACTTCTAAAACTAGAACACCGGAAAAATAACCGGTAAAGAACACATCCAAATCCCCAAAATTAACAAATAGAAAAGGGCTTACATGAGCTTCAAACATGGCGGCGACAATAAATTAAGCTCGGAGCGAAAAATAGAAAGGTTTTGTTCAAGTTTGGTTGAGAAAATCGAGGATCATCGAGATCCGAGAAACGAACCGATTCAACATTCAAAGAGAGAAGCACCACGATCTCAAAATTCCAGAAATCAAACAAAGGTTCGTCGAATCTCAGTGATCGATCTAGCGAGAGCGAGAAGAGAGAAGAAGCAAGAGACTCGAGAGAGATAGAGACGGTTTGTGAAAAAACGAAGTGAGAGAGAGAGAGAGGAGAAGAACGAGACTCAGGGATGAATTTCAGGTAATATACGTGCCGGTCCTAAGCTATTTGTATTTTGTATTTTTCTACTTTTTTACGGTCAAATACGCTTTTTATTTTAATTTTTATATTCAAATTATAATATCTTAATTTGCTTTTGATCCCTAATATTTCTTAAGGTTTTTACAATTATCCATAAACTTTTTATAGTTTCGAAATTGTTTGAGATTCTAAACCACAATGAATTGTTTTTGTGATTGATTGTTACTTGAGTCTATTGTTAAGGGTTCATAAATATATATCCACTTTGAAACAAAATCTTATTTTGTAAGATTCCAAGATATTTAGACAAATGCTACTACGAATCTTTTCGATGTCTTTAATCATGAGGTTTCAAAACTTCAACAAATTTAATTGAAAATTTGGCATCTTACGAAATGTTGTAAACTAATTCACAGCTAGAATAAAATCTAGAAAAATGAAAGGCATGGGATCCATTAATATGAATGAGCATGTTACTCTTTAGTCTTTACATGTCACTTGCAAATTTGCAATGGTAAGAACCTCGATTCTCATGGTACGAACAACCTTAAAACTCTTTGGAGCTGAAGAACACTAAGTACTACAAGAAAGTGATAATCTAATAGTAGCTAATACACAATGAAAAGCTTTAAAAAGGAACATTCCTAACCTGATATCCAAATATCAATACTAAATTTTTATTTATATGTTCAAAAGTTTAAAACTACGAAATAACATTAAATTAGTGACCACGTACAAGTTTTTTTCACCTTTATGAAACATAAGGGTGGAACATAAATTACACAGTAGCCAAAATACAAAAAAAAACAAACAATTAAGAGTTACCATGTTCATGATTTTGGGTATATGTAGTTCGATTTTGCATCCTAAGATCATTTATTTCAAGTTTTAGACCACAGCCTTTAACTCGTCCGATCCACTTCTTTCAAATATTACAATGACTACATGTAAACCTTCATAACAATATGTGTGTGACAAAGTAGTATGTTTTAATTTTGAACCATACATTGATTCTCAAATCTTTGAAAACTCAAACAAAAAAAAGTAGAGTGCTTCTCTGAGAGCGGATACCTACTAGAGCTCGCATTCATAGTTGAGGATTGAATGTCCCTCTATCATGTTTACTCTGTAACTCGGTAGTCGGGATATATGTAAAGCAACTATGCTTCCATCGTGATTAGTTGACTACTCCAAAGCGGTGTGGATGTCCCTTTTTGTTATATCAAATCTGTTTCTGGCTAGCTAGTGAAAATACTGGTGTGGATCAAAGCTCCTATAATGAACGTCAAGTATAGCTATTATTTGCAAGACCATCCTAGCTCAAAGCTACCGAGTAAGAACTGTGGAAAGACAGGAATGCTCCCAACAGGCCAACATTACTCTCGTTTGGTGAGAGAGATTTAGCAAATTATGAGATGCAAGTTGGCAGGTCTTGATCGCCCAGGATTCCTCGAGTCACGATTGCTCGTCAACTTCAAGCTCAAGTTCATAACCAAGATAGCTTCCTAATCACTCTATGGTTTGGAGAGATTCTTGGTTAGGAAACATCCCTCTCTTCGATAGTCATGTGTGTGTCATTGTATGTAATGTGGATTTTTTAAGTTTATGGCTCTTTTTACCCTTTCTTCTTATTTTTCCTCTGTTTTTAAGTTACTCAAAATGATGTTTCTGTAAAAGAACACAAAAGAGACATAGGAATATAACACGTTTAATTTTAACCACAAATATATAAAAATTTCAAACACTTGGTACGATAAACTAAACAACAATGATTTTAAAGAAAAAAAAGGGTTATACTTATTTCATACTCCTGTCTTCTTGGTTCTTACGTAGAATCATAATAGAGTACTAACAAATATTTAAAAACTGAGATCGAACCCAAAAATCTAAAAAGCACAGGTCAATTTTTCCATGTGATGAACAAAATATATAATCTTCCTAAATAGCACAATTAGCAAATAGAAGCAAGATAGAAAAGATATCTTAGGTGGATACAAACCCAAAAAGCTTAATAGATTGAGCCACTATAGCCCACTGTCCAAAGTACTTTTTGCTAGCAGTGAATAGAAATTTGGTTTAAAAACATACACATGGAAACAAGTTTAAAGTATTTCATACATCATACTGTACATGACTCTCGGGGATCTATTTCAAGTACTTAAAGTATCCTCTATAATATCAAATGTATGATTTCTCTCGGCCTTTAACTATGTCGCTCCTCACCAACATGCATTGTTGCATACTCTGATGCAACTTACATATTATCGAATCCGGTCAAACACCAACAAACAAAGCATGTCCACATTAACATTCACTTTGTCCTTGAGCTAATTGTTCTTGGGAAAATACGAGTACTCCATGTCCAACTAGAACTTCAATACCTGGACATATTGACCAAATAACTCCCTACAACACTTTTCCTAAACTTTAGAACGAATCTGAGCTTTACCACATTCTTACAAATATGTTAATTAGTAAGAAGCAAATAACTAAACATCCACGAAGCAGTTAAGAACCTTTGGGTTTCTTTCACTGTCTTACCGAGCGTGAACATTGTCGCCAAGCCGTCCATATCACAATAAAAGTAATGAATCTTTTTATATCATTACTAAGCATCAAATCAAATCTCAACGTTATGAATAGATCATTAACCTAAAAATCCACCAACCCGTGACGCATCTCTGGAACAACATTCACAAGCCCGTGAGTTTTGAGAACCATGAACACGTGGCGATCCAACATTTTCCCAATTTTATGTCATATACAATCTTTATGTTACGTAGACTTTTTCGTAAACTATAATCTATGTCCATGACATTTGAGTGATCATAGATCTAGTTAAAATATATATTTTACAAACTATATGCAACAACTTTCTATTTTAATTCATAACGTTTGGTAGCTCGGAAATAAAGGCCATTTAATTTTATCGTCACGATTCGGTGATTTATCTCGTTATGATGTACACTCGTTACTGCTTGCTGCCAATTAAATGGTCAAGTATGTAATTTTTTTAAAAAATGTAAACAAAAGGATAATGTTAGTCGTGGTTTACCGTCCAGTCGTCCACACAGCAACTCTTCTATCTTTAATCTCCAATAAACACAAAACCACCATCCACCATCGTTATTAATAGCCATAACGATACATATATAAGACCCAAAATGCGTACGAAATGGTCGAAGCCAATTATCGTTGCTATATATTATTAGCTTTATGTTTTGTAGCAGAAAATATGGTTACCAGTAAAACATTATAAAAAAAAATTAAAATGTGTATATTATTTTACGTGCTGTCACAAAGACATAAATGTACACACAAAAAGTTTGATGTAACTTGGAAGATCTTTCACAGTTTGCGGCATTTAGATTTGGAACAAACACGTGTCGCGATTTGTAGATACTTCCACGTGGTATTAAGTTGAGCCACAAGCCATCATCACTCAACAATCCTTTTTAGTAATAAGTGTTAAGCACGACCCGTGAGAGATACATGTGACATATAGAGACGAAAAAATATAAAGACTGATCAAAGCTTTAAATTTTGTTTCTCCTTCTAATCAAATAACTAAATAACTTTTGGGAATAATGGCTTCGACCATTTTTTGTTTTTTTAGTAGGACTACATATGTTTATGTCGATTACAAAAGAAAATTGTATATTTCTGTTCATTTTGATTACATTTGTGATGACAACTATATATTTTGATTACATTTGTGATGACAACTATATATTTGAGAGAAAATCGATAACTTACTAGAGTTTAACAAAGAACCGATTAGTAGAGTTTTTATTGGGTGCAAATTATAGTTACTATATGTCCTTACTTCTTGACATTGTAGGGAGGTGCTAATAATAACAAGAAAATTCTGATTTTTATGGCTTCTTGAAATTAGTTTGGGTTTTGGCATGAGATTTTTCTAATTATTGAAAAAAATATGAAAATAATAAAAAAAATTGTACACCATGGTCCATAACCCAACAAAAAAGGAAGAAGGAAAATTTAGAATAAAAACAATTAATTAACGGACAAACTACTTTTTACGTTTGAAGAATAATGTCGCTATCTACGTATTTATATCATGATTACATCCACTATGAAAATTCTAATCTGTATACATAAATTGGTGAATATGTATATACATGTTGTTGATGATTCTGGCCGACATTAAATGATTTTGTTTAAAAACAGATAAATGTGGGAATTAAGACAGCTCGTTATTAGAAGCATTAGGAACCAACGGATCATTTTCGGAGCCCGCCCAACTTTTTCCTCTCCGTCTTCAACATCCACAAGAAATATATTCAACTACAATACAACAAAGTGTCACGAGATTTGTCTATTTCCAATCTTTTGCTTCTCAATTATTTATTTCACTTGCTTTTTTAATTTATAAAACTATATATGAAAACGCTTTATAAAACTATTTCATAAAATTATGTTTCTTTTTCTATATCATGCGTCGGCATATATAGTTAGTGTTACATAAATTAATTAAAGTACAATTTTAAGAAGCAAAAAAGGTGGAAGCTATACAAATCATTTGTGTTATTGTTTTGGATTAGGATTGATCAGTCGCTGTCGTCACAAGATCAGTAATTTGATCTTTCTAGGTTTCTTGAATAGAAATGAAAAATTCTATATATCCGATACATGATTTATGAGTTTATCAAGTCACGAGTCGTGATTTTTCGGATACGGGTTATATGCCCAGGCCTAGTCACGACTGTGAATTTAAGTCCCTTTTAGGGAGAAGTCATCTTGTCAATTCCACCATAAGACGAGTAGACGACTTTACAATATTAACCAATAAATGTAAATGTTTATATATCTGCAAATAATGGAGCTGTATATACCTTGCACATAATTTTTATTTTTAGAAGAAACTTCAAAAAAAAAAATCTTCTTTACTAATAATTTTTAAATGAATTAAAATATGAAAATATAAATATCATTAATTATATAACTATTTCATCTAGATATAATTCAATCCAAATATTAGAAATCTCATTATTTTATCAGAAAAATATATATATTTATTGTTGACACTTACAACTTTAAACATGCATGGCCTACAAAATTTAAGTCGGCCATGTAAATAAACATGATCGATGACGTCATCATGTTCTGAACAATAGAAGTACGAAGAAAGAGGATGAACAAAGTGACTTTAACACTGGCGCACACACGCATTACGAATCTTAAACGCAAGAGGGATTTCAAATCAATCCTTTCAACATTATATTGTGTTTGTGTGTTCTAATCATTTCCTAGTTATACATGTAGAAATATCTATTGGCTCTCTTAATATCCCTTATCGTTAGGCAGTTACGCAGTTAGGCTTATCATATGCTTGCATATAAAGTTAACGTGGCAATAATGTCAACAAAAAACAAAAGTTAACGTCACAGTATTTTTGCATGGGGATCGGAGATGAGTAATGAGAGTTAATTACTACCTTGTACTGACTTGCTTAATTAAGATTTAGGTTAATTTCAGATCTGATAAATTAGCTTAAGCTTGGAGACTAGGAGGACTTTGTAACTAGCATCTAATTCTAAATTTGGATCTTATAACATAGGAAACATGAGATCTCTTGGACCATGCGAGATATAGTGCCAAAAATAACGATAAATATTTACACCTACCGTGGTAATGTCTCTTTCTACCACCATTTTAAAATATCATATATCTCCCATATTATTCAAAAATAATTCCCGTCAAAGCTATTATAAGCACAACATAGAAAAACATTTAGTAAATAATAAACTCGAATTAATTAATTGTTAAAAATATTAATTAATATCACTCAGGCACTCATATCAAATGTGATTACTTAAATATATTAAATAAAATGTTATAAGGATTTGAATACAACCTTATGTTTAAAAATTAACTATGGTAAAGTGACTAAAGTCATACTTAACTCTATATACTAGTACTACAGATTGATCTATTAAAAAAACAAAAGATCAAGAATTTTCTCGATACACAAGAAGGTAATTAATTAAGTTGAAAATCTACAAATCCTTAAAAAAGATTTGTTTTATTATGTTTTTGACACTGATGTTCAAAAATGTATTCACTTGACCATTCAGAAGTCATATACGTATATATCAATCCAAACATTAGTCAAAATTTCGATATAGATGAAAACATTATTAATTTTTCTAACTTAAAAGAAAAATTGAATGGAGAAAAAGACAAGTCGTAAAAACATTAGAATATTTGGTAACTAAAACCAACAAGTCTCTTAAAAAACCTCATGCCCAAAACAACACATAGATAGAAACTCCATAACCAACCAATAATAAACACGTGTCGTCTCCACAGACTTCAAACTCCATTGTCTCTCTGTGTTCTTGCTTGCTATATAACACACTCAAAGCTCCTCTAACCCTCTCAACATTCTCTTTCTCTTTCTCCAATTCTCTCTTCTCAAAGCTAAACAATGCGCAGTCTCAGTGGCATTCTCGTGATTTACATAATCTCCACTGTCCTCTTTGGACATTTCACTTACGTGACACAAGGAAGATACCATTACCACAAGAGTCGTCACGGCCGAACGCATCCTCTTCCTCCTCCTCCTCCTCCTCTTGAAACGGCCAATCCACCTGATCAAGTACCCTCTGACCCGTATCCGGATCCAAACCCGGCTCCGGGAGATTCCGACTCATGTGTTTTTGACGTTACGTCGTTTGGGGCAGTGGGTGATGGCTCATGCGACGATACGGCAGCGTTTCAAAATGCATGGAAAGCCGCTTGTGCTGTTGAATCCGGCGTCGTTTTGGCACCTGAAGGCGGCGTTTTTAAAATCACCTCCACTATCTTCTCCGGTCCATGTAAACCGGGACTCGTATTTCAGGTGCCCCACAAAAATAAGTTTTTTCTTCTAACAAAAATAAAAATTAAATGTTGAACATTATTTATTTTTGGACCCTCCTACACTTGCTTCTAATCAAAGTCATCCATAATAATCTAAAAATCCATCCATAAATTTTGATAATTCACTATAATAATATAAAAAAATGTACCATGTTTATTTTCTAATATATTTGTCATTTGATAGTAATTTTTTATTTGTTTGGGATTGTGAAGTTGGACGGCGTGTTGATGCCACCGGACGGACCAGAAGAATGGCCAGAGAAAGACAATAAAAACCAGTGGTTGGTTTTTTACCGCCTCGACGGTGTCACATTTTCCGGCAAAGGCACCGTCGAAGGCAATGGTCAAAAATGGTGGGATCTACCTTGCAAGCCCCACAGGGTAAATATTTTACTAATGATATAGATTTACATTAGAGATTTGCTGATTATTCCTAAATAAATTAACATTAATTCATAAGCCGTGGCCATGTCACGACAAGAAACCGTACTATTATTCCTAAATGATTTTTACTTGTAAAAACAAAAAAGATTGTTGTCAATTAAAATAATTTGGATTATGTGTTTTATTATCTTTTTCAGGGTCCAGACGGATCATCATCGTCGGGACCATGCGAAAGTCCGACTGTGAGCCTACTTAAACCGAACCAAATCATTAAACCATACCGTTTAAATTGGTTTAGTACTGATTTTTTTTTCTTTTTGGTTTTTTAGATGATTAGGTTTTTCATGAGCAATAATATAGAGGTGAAAGGATTACGAATCCAAAACAGTCCACAATTTCACATGAAATTCGACGGATGTCAAGGAGTACTAATAAACGAAATCCAAATTTCGTCACCGAAACTAAGTCCAAACACCGATGGTATCCATCTCGGAAACACAAGATCTGTTGGCATCTACAATTCTGTCGTTAGCAACGGTACTGTTTTGTCTTTTTTACTAATTTTTTTTTGTATCAATAATGCATTTTTGTATATGAATTGTAACTTTTGTTAAGAATATTATTAATAAACAGGGGACGATTGCATTTCGATTGGAACTGGCTGCTCAGATGTTGACATTCAAGGTGTCACTTGTGGCCCTAGTCACGGGATCAGGTTTCTCTCTTTTCATTCATTTCCTCATCTGTTTTTTCTTTTGTAAAAAAATCATTAAAAATACAAATATTAACGTTAGTTTTATTTTATTTTTTCCCGAATTGATTCCATTACGATGTCTGTGTTTTTACATGGATCACGGATGTTAGCTGAATGATCCATCCACCGGAAACTGAACTTTTGAGCTAGTTGACAAAAACATATCGAACTTGGTGCTAGATTTTAACTAAAAAAAAGAGGTTATTCATATTCATAAATTTTAATTTCGGGAATTGAATAAATATTTCTAAAAAAAATTCTAATATATCATTTTTTCTAATTTTGCTGGTATTTCAGAATTATGCAATGTTGTCCGTTATTAATTTACGAGTATGATTTACATTTAGTTCTAACAAAACTCTAAATTGAAGTTCGTTTAAGCTGAATATTTGTTTATTTATTTATTTTTATTTATAGTTCACGTTAAGCCGAAAAAGAAAATACATTTTATATCTGAGATTTTTTTTTTTTTTTGAATTTTAAAAATTGACGTTTTCCAATAATAAGAAAATCAGCTTAACGTGAACTTTTGTTTTTTTTTTTCAAATGTATCTTCTTTTTCGGTGGTGTTTAGTTGTTTCGCCGTTTTCAAAACGCGATTTGAATTCTAACCGCTAAAAATCTCTAAAATTGTCTCAAAACGCAGTATTGGGAGTTTAGGCGTACACAATTCACAAGCCTGCGTTTCAAACATAACAGTTCGAAACACCGTGATTCGTGATTCCGATAACGGTCTCCGAGTCAAAACATGGCAAGGCGGCACCGGATCAGTCTCAAATCTCCTCTTCGAAAACATCCAAATGGAGAACGTTCTCAATTGCATAATCGTCGACCAATACTACTGCCAATCCAAAGATTGCCGCAACGAAACATCGGCGGTTAAAGTCTTCGACGTCGAGTATCGAAACATCAAAGGAACTTACGACGTCAGAAGTCCACCGATTCATTTCGCATGTAGTGATACCGTCGCTTGTACGAATATAACGATGTCGGAGGTTGAGTTATTGCCGGAGGAAGGTGAGCTTGTTGATGATCCGTTTTGTTGGAATGCTTATGGGACTCAAGAGACGTTGACGATTCCGCCGATTGATTGTTTGCTTGGTGGATCTCCGGTGGTGGAGGAAGTGTATGATTCGAATTATATTTGTTGAATCTCTCCGGTGAATCTGGACGGTGGGTAATGTGCCACGTGGATGGATAAGGTTTGAACTATTTTTAGTTGTTGTATGTATGTATATTGGGCCATCCCTTGTAGGGCCTTTTAGTGGAAAGCCTTATTTGTGCGATGAGATTTTTAAGCATTTTAGATGCTGTCTCTATGGGCTTATATTATTTTTCGTCCATTATAAATTTTATTTGTCTATGATACTGATATAAAGAATGTCATTAGGAAGAAAAAAGAAAAACTTAACATTGAATTTGAAACTCTTTGAGTTGGGAGGGACAAACAAACAAAGACATACAAGTGAAATTGAGAATTTGACAGTAAGAAAGGGAAAAAAAACACTCAGTAAGTGACAGCATATGGATCAAAATACTCGAAAGTAACAGCTCTCTCAGGCCACATCCAAAATAACCGAAACGCAACCACTAACCGCAAACCGCAACAATTCTCTTTTTGGTGTTTGATCGAATCACGGATTATCAAGTCACCAGTCAAGACTCATCTATACAAACAGAACCCTCTCTTCATACCACATTGGCTTGTATGATGAAGCAGGATTAACTTTAGACTTTAGAGACATAAGGAATCAGATTATAGACCAAACCCGGGGTGGTTTACTTCTGAAGTGACTTGGGGTCCAGAGGAATAGTACCGACTGTTAAGATTGCAGGAGACCCGGTAACTTTTATAGGCAATGATCCTACTTTGACAGTGTCATTTTCATCAGAGAGAGAAGCATCAACCACTTCCGAGGAGTCTGTCTTAGAGCCTGAGGAGGTCGGTTTAGACTTGGCTTGACTCTTCTGGTTCAGGTGAGAAACAGTGGTCGGGTCAGAGTCTGTACCACTCGGGTCAATGGTGAGAGAGCTGATCTTCTTCTGAATGGAAGAAGTATCTTCTTCATTGCCTTCCTTAACAGTGGTCTCCTCATTCCCATCTGACTTTGAACGAACCTCCTTGGTTTTTGCAGAGCTCACTGAAGGTCTCTTGAAGGCTTCCAAGGGGATTTTATTGTTTCTATCAGAGAGATCTGGTCTGGGTAATGGTAAAGGGCTAAGAAAGGTCCTGTACGGCAGCCTGGTTCTCTCATCCTGCATGACTCTCTGTCGGCTTTCGTAATAGACAAAATCATCTAGTAATGAAGTCCTTTCCATATGATCTTTAAATATTTTTAGCACTTCCAGACCTTGTTTCAGCATTATCTGCAGAAGATAAAAAAATATTAGCATATTCTCGGAATGTGAGAATTTTCAAAGCGTGCGCTAGTAGAAAAATTAACCTCTTGTGTGTCTCGACTGTTGGTGACCGGCTTATTCTCATTGTTCTGTAGTATGATGTGCCTGAAATAGCTATTGGGAACATCTTTTATGATGTGCCATTTGACTGGAAAGCTTCCACTCCATTTGTCTTGCTGCCAAAAATCCATGTCTTTATCAAAAGAAACTGGACCAGTCATCTCAGCCATGCCACAGAACAAACCACTGGCATTGACCTAAAAAGAAAAGCACTGCATCAGAATAAGCTTCACACAAACATGCTAGCATGTAAGAAGAGAGAAGGAAAGACTCACAGAAAAAAACAAGAATATCGGGCATTCACAAGACTTCTCGGTGGCTATTCTCTGAGCATCTTCATACGCACTCTGCAATTTCTTGTTCCCATGTAAAGTTGATGACCATACATTGTATTTGATGCTCTTGTGAACATCATCTTCACTATACGATTTAATCACAAAAAACTTGGCATTGCTGTAATCGATTCGGAGATCCTCTTTATTATACTGAGAAGGATTGATCACAATATTTCCTTCGGCATCAGCATTTCCAGCTTTTGTTGTATAAGCTTTAACAATAAGTTGATTTCCCAATGCTCTCGATCTTCGACCTCGATTTTGTTCACGGACTGTATCAGGAATTATATTTGCATGGCCCCCATACAGCTTGGGCCGAAGATTGTTATTGTTTGTTGCAATTTTTGAAAAACCATTAAGTTCAGGTGGAGCAATGTCTAATTGCCCAAAAGACGATACTCTGCTACTGGAAACAGCATCAACAGGTTGAGAACTGACGGAGGTAGCTCTTCCCTGAAAAGATGATTACACAAGTCCAGAGTCAAAATCAGAATGATATTTGTGGCTGTAGTGATCAACAAACTATTTCTAGAAGGCTAGAACTACACAAGTAAGTATATGATGTCTGAAATTAGAATCACAATCATTCCACTAAATTCTTTCTAGTTCATCAACCTCCTATTATTAATATCCAAAATAAAGTAAAACCAGAAATTATTTATACCAAATTATACCTGGAGAGCTTGTCCTGGTGACGAAGTAGAATCACTCTTGTCCATTTCTGGCTGTCTACTTTGTCCAGAGTTAGGCCTTGGTTTCTCAGAGATTTTGCCCGAAGAGTTCACTGCAGAAAGTTTTGGAGCATTCCTTTGAAGCCCACTAGTAGCGGTGCCATTTCTCTGCCTGGACCCTCTCCCATCGGATCGATCCCTATTAGCTGAACCAGTTTCTACCAAAGAATTTGTTGAGCTACTCGAGATGATATCAGGTTGAATTGCATACGGAACAAAAGTAGGTGAGGTTGCAACACTCTGGTAAGGAGGAATAGAGTAAAATTGTTGAGGACTAACAAAAGGAGAATCAACGCCTATCGCAGCGCCAGGTATGTAAGGATTGAATGGATTGTAAGGAGACTGTGCATATCCATAACTAGGTGTATAGCATATATAGGGAGAGTTTTCATTCTGCCCACCCTGGAGAAACAAAAAAATGGATACCATGTCACAACACACAAAATGTATATTAATAAATCAACTATAAATGAGAAGTCTTTAAGTCTGATATTAGTACCGTGTATTGGACTTCAGAACCATCTACACCAAAAAACATCTGATGGTTCTCCCAATCACCGGGTGTCTCATAACCTGAAACTTAAGAAAATTAGGGAACTTGTCGCCTTTAGGCCGAGAGGATGATTCATACAACGAATCCAAGTTATTAATACCTGTACAGTAATAGCCATAACTGGCATCGACGGGGTAATACATGCCCTGGTCAACAACAAAATCAGGGGCTCCCTCTGAGGTATACATTGCTTTTAACTTATCAAAGAAAATGTTTTGTCTCAATGGAGTTTGAATAAACACCTGAAATTAACAGAAGAAAAATAAAGAACATAAGAATTTGTGACAATTGATTTGAAGAAATAAGGTCAAACTTAAACAAATTAGCTACACCAGTAGGATTCAAGGATTAATCACCTTGGCAAATTATATCAAAAAAATCAAAAACTTGGAGATTCTTTTGCAATACAAAAACTTCCCCAACTATTCTAAAAATCCCAATAGAATAAACACTCAAATTCACGTGAAACGATAAAGGAGTCATGAAACCAACCCAGACGAACTTCAACGAAGATGCAAAATCACGAGAAAAAACATGTTCCTTATGATACCAAATCAAATCCTAAAACAAAGAAATTTACACGAAGATGAAGCTAATTGCTTGAAATAATTCGAACGCAAAGACGAATTCAAAATGAAATAAAGAGTAGCAGTTAGCAGAAATCAAATTTACCAGAAATTTGGGATAATCACGACATGCTTAGCCTATGAAGTTCTTCGAATTAAGAAGAAGAAACAGATGTTTCAAGAGGAAGAGAGAACAAGGCTTATGAAGAGAGGGCTCAGCAACATAAGTCGGGAAAAAAAACCCTCTGCAGAATCGAAACCCTAACCCTAGATTGAGAAGAGGGGTTGGAGAGAGAGAGAGGGAGAAGGAGAGAGATTCGACGAATTTCGACCAAAAAAAAAAAAAAGAAAGAAAACCTGAAGACGCGCAAAGGCAGATTCTTTAGCTTTGATGCAAAAACGCTGCGTTTTCAACGGGTGAATCTAGTTATTGACTTATCGGCTTGAAAAGTCGGTTATACCCTTTTCGTTTGAAGTTACCAAACTACGAATCTGCCCTTCTTTGTAATTTCCCTCTCAATTGCATAAGATTCAAGGTTGCCAAAATTTGTAATGTTTTGTTTGCAATTTACAATTTTTACTTTTCTATGATGAAAGACAACTCATTTCTTAATACTTTGTAAATTTTTTACAAAAGTCGCACTAAACTGAACTACATAGAACTTTGATTGAGAAAAGTAAAATTCATGAGAAGGAGAATAAGGTTTACACCATCTCCCTACAGATAAAGTCAATAACATCTAAAGCTTAAATTAGCAAACCGGATCCGGTTAAGATGGATTTGAAACCAGCTAGGCTATTATGACCACTGTACATTGGCTTTGAGGACACATCCAAAAGCGATTTAGCTGTTCATCATCTGCAAAATCAATCAAGATATAGCTCAGAAGTGTGAGATAAAAGAGTTTGGTTCTGTGTATCAATCATATGCGATGCGTGCTTTGGAAATGAAATGCTGCACAACTTGTAAAACCAGAATTAACTAACCACAGAACTCTCTAAATCAAATCTATTGAACCACAAAAGTTGAAAAACAGACATCAACACCGTGTTCTAAACCGAATGGAAAATGGTGTGACTAGTGAGGCTAAGGGTGTTTGTAATAGCCTAGATAGATTTAGAAGAGAGATTAGAATTACCTCAGTTGGAAAGAAGACCAGTGGAACGAGATTTCATGAGTCAATATCTCTTGGAACTGAGTGTGACTTATCAAGAGAACCCTTGGTCTTAGAATCGACAGAATCATTGACCTTCTGTTGGGGATTTTCATTAGAATTAATCGTGTGTTTTTTGTCAGATGACTTACGCTTAGAATAGGTAACCAGTTTGATTACTCTCTCTGGCTTATCTGCAGACTCTCCATAATCCTTTTTATGAGAAGGTTTCGTAATATTTGTAAACTTGTCATGAGCCACCACTGGCTTGCTGGTTAGACATTTCGATGAACTGGTACAGTCTGCGTTGACCCCACCATTTACAGTCTCCAGATCAGAATCAGCAGCACAGATAGTCGTACGTCTCAACTTCATGGTAGAATCATCCATATCATCACCGGGCTCTGAATTATTGAGTTCAACCTTCTCAGCACTATCAGAGGCTATGTCTCTGTTTCCGTCTGTTGTAAACTCAGCTGTACCATTCCCTATGATCTCAGTAGCTGTACTATCCAGTTTCTCATCATATGTAATTTCTAATTCCACTCCAGCATCACCAGTGGTGCTAGAGTCATCTACTCTTGGTTTGGCATCAGGAGCCTTGTCTATACTTATTACATAATTTGACGCCTCAAGAGAGTCACTTTTTCTTCCTTCTTCTGCTTTCTCTTCTGAAATCTTAGTAATGTTAGAGGCTTCTTCATCACTTTCTTCTCCAATTCTAGATTCAGACTCACCAGCAATTTCATCAACTGCCATTGGTTCAATGTCCGCAGCTTTTTCTATCCGAGATTCTATGGGATTTCCAGAACCAGGCACATACAGATCACAAGCTGGCTGCGATTCCAGATCAGTAGCTTTAGGGGTAACTAGCTTTGCATCAGCTCTGATAGCATCAGATGTACCTCTTGTTTCGCTGCAAGATTCCGATTTTCCAACTGTATCAGATAAATCTTTACTAATCTCTGCAGTTTCAGAATGGTCAGCTTCTTTGGAACCATTTTCAGCCTTCTCTGAAGAATCAACCATATCTTTATCACTAGAGCCTAGAGTTCCAAAAGATGTAATTTCCTCAGTTCTAGATTCTGAGCACTTGGAATAAACAGCATCTTTTTCATCAACTTCCATCTGTTCAGAGAGATCCATGGACTTATACTCCACATTTTCAGAAGATATTAAAGTATCTTTGTCATCAGGCACTGAGGATGGTGAATCAACAGAATTCGTAATATTGTGTACTAAATTACTAGGTGAATGAATCAGGCGTCTAAAGTCGTAGTACGCCTCAGCCTGCAGATGTCAGAACATATCAAGAATAAACTAAAAGATATTAAAATTAGGACTCTCATAATTAACTGTAGTACTACCTTTGGTCTCGGAGATACTGCTTCAAGAGGTTGAAATTTAAGCTCCTCACATTCAGGGATTTGTAAAATTATGTAGGCTGCTTTGTTGGTGTGTCTCTCCTCTGTATCCTGCATACGAGACAACAGGTACTCAGGTTTGTGTTGAGGCTCAAACACAAGTTACAACATCTACAAGATATGAGAAATGACAGCGAGAATATAAAATTAATATGAAGATAGCCAAGCGAATAACCATTTTTGTTGAGTCGCAAGAGCTTACTACAGGAGGAAGTGAAGATAACCAATACAAATATCCAATAGAGCATACCTGAAACTGAGGATGATCAGGAGCACTGAACAAGGTTATAAGCCCTTCATGGTCTTTTGCGTATCCTCCATTCAGTGGTGCAAGGTCATCTCGTTTTGCCCTTTCGTCAGGGGCTCCCTTCCCTCTTATGATCCACTGCCATACAAAGAAATAACATCATGAAGCTGAAGGAGTAACAGACATACCTCACAAATATATCCTAATGCATTTGGTTGATTGCACGCTCAAATCTTCTATCAAATTCTCAATGCTTCTAGGTGCTATCTTATTGACAATTTAATATCACGAAACTGATCAATCTAACCTTTAAATCATTGTCTTGTAGGAACTTTGCGGTGCAATCAGGACCCCACAACAAACCGATACCTCTCTCTTTGTTAAGAAAGAGGCCGGTGTCTTTCGATGGATCTGACCAAAGAATGTCACCAGGAATCAAATTTGAACCTTCAGTGGGAGGATCTATAACACGTCTTTTCACTTTGGATAAATCCTTCAACGAGCCAAGAGGCAAGGACTCGGATCTATTTTCAGTCTCAAGGACACTATTATCTGTTTGCTTTTTCTGAGTTCGCTTGCGTTTTCTGCTTCGTTCTTGCTTGTCCGAGAGAAATCTTGATACATCACGAAAAAGGCCTCCATGAGCTGTAAATACCTTCCCAGCAATCACAGAAGCCAAAGGGAGTAACTGAAAGCATTCCAAGCACTTCTTGTAGACAGCTGCTCCTTTATCACCATACTTGGTTAATACTTCATTTTTAAATCCATACAGTGATGTACAACTTTCGCTCTCGTGACTGCCACGTAGAAGATATACTCTTTCCGGTAGTAACACCTAGCAAAAAGATGAAACACCTACTATTAAAATGTTTATTGGCATGACTAATCTAGCTGTATAATAGCAGCTTATGTCTCCGCGTCCTATGCTCCACAGACACAAATTAAAGGATAAAAATAGTACCTTCCATGATAATAGAAGCAAGAAGGTTTCTAAACCCCACGCTCCTTTGTTTACATAATTCCCATTGAACACATAGAACTGATCACCATTTGGGAGTCCTGCATCACCATTTGGGAATCCTGCATCCTGCAGAAGGAACAACAAATCATGTAGCTGCCCATGTAGATCTCCAACCACAACGACCTTTGCTTTGTCACTCTCTATCCTAACGCAGTTTGGCTCTTTCTTCAGGATTTTGGAAGCAGAGAGAACCAGCTCATCCAAGACATTAAAAGGTAGAACACTTGAAAATTCACAAGGTGAGAGATTCCTCGATGACCAATCAAACCCCAACATTACATCACAAATCCAACTGAAAGTAAGCTTCCCTCCTGACGGCCAGAAAAGAGGTTTCTGGGAAACTGATGGAAAAGACTGCTCACATCCTGTATCCTGAACAGGCGACATCATTTCCAAAGGTTCCGCTGAGAGACCATCATCTATTCCCATTTCATTCAAAGGTACAGATACCATTTCTCCAGAAATCGGCTTTTGGGGTATTATTGTAGGCATAGGTTGAGGTAACAGCAAAAATGGTTCTGGAGTTGGAGCTTGAGTAACAGAGCCTATAACAAAGGAATTACGTAAGTCAAAAAGATAAGTCTCGACAAAACTTGTTAAGGACATGAACATGTAACATGATCTGCAGATATAATTAACTGGGATATCCATATCATGAAATACCATCTAAGGAGAAAGGAACATTTGATCTACTATTATCTAGTCCTTCTTTCTATTGGTTACAATCTAATACATCACCAAGCCACTGAAAGTTTAAGTAGAAAAATCACTAAGAAAAGGAATTGTAGCCGAAAATTATTCTGATAATTTGTATGGAAATTCTACCATTCGATAATGAGCCTAAAGGCGCATTGAGTTGAAGGGCGCCTGCACACATATCAACTATATCTTGTAATGTTTGCCTCGCAGTGTCAACAGTAAGTTCCTCCTCAAGTGAAGCCTTAGATCGAGCATGAATTGCTGCAACCCTCTGAACCTGTAAGTTTATATTGGATAGTAAATTTAAGTAAGTTGAAAAACCTTTTTACCAAAAAAAAAAAAAAAAGGTTGAAAAACCATAGGATTATGATGTTGACCATAAACTTACAAGTACTTGGAAAGCAAAACCAGTGGGTAGAAATTGCCCAGGGCGCCTCTCATTCATAGGACTAATAATTCTTCTAGTAATTCTGCGGTACCACTCCATATAAGGATCATTATAGTCCATTGGCCTACACTCTGGCTCACCAGAAACAACAGATGACTCACGTGCCTCCCACAATTCAATATGTCGACTATGACGTGCTGACCAGTCATATTCAGATTTGCCTCTTTTGTCAATAGCATGAAGAGCTTTTTCATTATCACAAGGTGCTGGTATTGTTTGGTGAAGACCAAACTGTCTAAGTACTCGATCAGGACGATGCCACTCAACAACATCAAAACAAATCAAGGGTGCAATGGTTCGCCATATGTTCTGACCACTAAGACATATAAGAGGAAGTTTTGCTAGAAGATGTGGAGTATAAGGCTGCCATATGACCTACATCCAAATCATAAAAGAAAATCCCAAGTCATTTAAATTAACCACCGTACCAGCGATCTTTTGATAAAATCTTATTAGGGGACTATGGGAAAATAAAGAAGTTTGCCTTACATCTACCTAACTTATGGAAACTAGTAGTATAACAGTACCACTTTAGCTTAACGTGCTAAAGAGATTAATTTTTACATTATAAGTTTCCATTACTGAAATGATTAAGTTCCAGAAAAACAAACACCACATAACTTAAATCTTCTTAACTCCCAACAAAAGCTTAGTTCGTCAAAATTAGGAGTTGTCTGTGATTTTTCCTCTACTTTCCTAAAGTCAACTATCAAAGCGCGGTCATCTAAGCCATAGTTTTATACCTGCTCATCTTTCTGCTGGTCAAATTGGTCCCTGTAAAAGTCCAGTCCTCCGCGAGGATTCTCTTTATGACTAAGAGAAGCCCTCCACCTAGCTTTCAAGCAGTTTCATAAGCAAACCATAATTGAAATTAAACTTGTAAGAAAAAACTGAACGGAATACGATATATCAATTTACCTACAGCCTAATGGATCTGGTAAAGGACCATCTATGCCATCCATATAAGAAGCACCAACATCTTTAAGTCTTCCTGGACGACCAACATGCAGTCGTTCCCATGCCCATAACTGCAGCAGAACAAGAGGGCCACAAATGGTAGAAACAGTCCTCTTACTTGCCCGGCACAACTCTCTGTAGAGAAGTGCTAAGGTAGCACTACCCCAGCTAAGTTTAGCCACTTCATCAAAGTCCCTTAGCAAAGGGAGAAACGTCAAAGCCACATCATGTTTAGACTTATCTCCGTAAAGGAAACCACTCATCAAAGCCAATACAAAAGCCCTAGTGTGACACTTCAACGTAGCTTCATCAGGTTCAGCAGGTAAATTCCGAAAATTCTCACGCAGCCATGCTAAGGACACATGAGAACCATGTAAATCCTTGGGACCTGGCCTCTGACCTAGCAAGTCCTCACATAAATCAGCCCAGTTGTATTTTGTACTACCAGTTACCGCAGGTCCATCCACACGGAGACCCAACAATATATTCACATCTTGTAAAGTCACAGTGATCTCTCCAGCAGGAAGATGAAAAGTATGCGTTTCGGGTCTCCATCTCTCCACCAGAGCTGTTATCAGAGCATAATCAAGTTGTATAAAGGCAACCTTATACACTCCATATAGACCAAACTCTATCAACTTTTGACACACAAGAGGATCCAGAGGCCAATCTCGCATCCCCAATAACTTGTGCCGACATGTCAGTTCACGGGGCGGAACCTGTAAGTGAAGTATAACGGAAAAAGGAAATGATTAAACACCAGAAGCTAAACAAGAAACAAGATAAATGACTAACTAACTAGTACACACCTCATCTTCCCATATAGCAGCTGATCTATGCTCATGTTGCCACACCAATATAGATTGATCAACTGGACCAGGATCCAAATCAAAGTTTAATAGACTTTGCACCTCCATCTACATAATATATCACAGGACAATAAACACTATGATCAGTGAATATACTAAACAATAATCGAAAATTTCTCGAATTATGAGTAACAAAAAGTTCAAAATGAAAACTTCTAATTCTGGGAATATAACTGAAAACTGAGAATTAAAGATTCCTAATTTGAAGACAACAAACCCTAAACTGGTACGAAAGACAAATTATACCCCAGAAAAATCAAGCTAATTACACGTATACACAGACACGAAGAACTAAAACAAGAAACAAGAAACGACAAAAGAGATTGAACCAATCCAAACTTCGACAAAGAAAACAAGTGTGTGGGTGATTAGAATCCGAGAACGTACCAAAGAAAAGCGTCCGTGATCAACAAAAACCAAAAAAGAGACGTTTGACTGAAACCAGAGGAAGAAGAAGAATTAATAAGCAAGAGAAGCGTTAAGCGGGAGAGCTGAAGGAAACGAGAGAAAGAGAGAGCTTCCAGATCCGACAGAAGTTTTCGGCTTCTTCCTTTCGTTTAAGAACTTCTGATCCTCCTAGGTCTGTCCGAAGAACTAATCTTTTTGCGTTACGACGCCGTTTTAATAGGTGAAAACAATTATGAGCCCATTAATCATAGTCTCGGCCCAAATAAAACTTATATACGACAGCGTTTTGAGTGTAAACGCAAGATTTTGTCGATTACACAAGTAAAAAAAAAATACAAACACTTGAGTCTCTAGACATCGTGCGTCGCCTTAGCTTTGAAGTTTTCCTCGAAACAAAAGAGTTATTTTATTTCAACTTAGAAGATTATACAAAAGACACGTGTCGCGAACCCGATTCGTAAAGACGCCACGCTATACTCTTTTGCATGCACCTCAATTGGAACATCATCAACTCTCTTTTTCTGACTTTGATCCACGAATCTAACCACTTTGTGATCTCTATTTAACCGATCCTCGACGCAACTTCAACTACTACTACATCCATATTCACATCACATCGATAAACTATAAGAATATAAAGATAAAATGCCAGGGATCACACTAGGAGACACGGTGCCGAACCTAGAAGTGGCGACGACACATGGCAAGTTCAAGCTTCATGACTACTTCGCTGATTCTTGGACCGTCCTCTTCTCTCATCCCGGTACCTACGTCTATATATGGATCTTGATTCAACAAGTTAAGTTCGGTTTCACAATTTATAGCTTTTCTTTCCATTTTAACTTTTATGTTCTTGATTTTTTGTCGGCGGACACAGGGGATTTCACACCCGTGTGCACCACGGAGCTGGGTGCGATGGCCAAATACGCTCATGAGTTCGATAAGAGAGGCGTGAAGCTCCTTGGGTTGTCTTGTGACGATGTACAGTCACACAAAGAGTGGATCAAAGACATCGAAGCCTTTGCGGTATACCTTATTAAATCTCTCATGCATGCATACAAAACTTATTATAATCTTTGATCTAGCTAGAGATCATATTTTGCTTTTGATTAAATTGTTACATATGTATGGATATAGCACGGAAGCAAGGTGAAGTATCCGATAATCGCTGACCCGAACAAAGAGATCATTCCTCAGCTTAATATGATTGATCCAATCGAGAACGGACCGTCTCGTGCCCTTCATATTGTTGGTCCTGATAGCAAGGTAATAATTTCATATATTATTGCATGTATGATTTTATTGGTTAATTTTGGATTTGTGATATATAGATAAAATTGAGCTTCTTGTATCCATCGACCACGGGACGTAACATGGACGAAGTATTGAGGGCTTTAGACTCGTTGTTGATGGCGTCCAAGCACAATAACAAGATCGCCACTCCGGTTAACTGGAAGCCAGATGAACCGGTTGTGATTTCGCCTGCCGTGTCGGACGAAGAAGCCAAAAAGATGTTTCCTCAGGGTTTCAAGACCGCCGATCTTCCGTCAAAGAAAGGCTATCTGCGTCACACCGAGGTCTCTTGAAAGATAAAAACAAAAGCCTAATATAAAACAAAATACGAGTATTGTATGATATTAGTTGTTTACGTGTTGACGAAAATAATTACGTTTTGTAACGTATGATGATAATGTGTTGCACTAGGGTGTGGGCTTTGTATTATGAATTTATGATAAGAACTAGTTTGTTCTATATAAAATGGTTTAGCAATACGTTTTAGTGTTTTACTGGTGGATTGGAATCGAAGCGAATGTTCAATCTTTGATTTTGATCAAGAATTGAAACCGAATCAAATGTAAATGACATTATTTTCTCGAATTGAGCTTATGAAAATGCTAATATCCAAAAAAGTGAACTTAAAACAAAAAAAAAAGGGACACAAAAACCGCATCAAACCGGTATGAAACCGCATCAGACCGATATAGTACGAACCGAAATCTGGACTAGAAGACATTTAGACCGGAAGAACAGAAGTGGGGATTATACGACATCGTTTAAGTGTATTAAGTTAAATTCGCATATTCACGAGTTTCCAATATTCACCGGTGTTAAAAATCGTCGATTCATCGTCGTCGACGGCGAGTACTTGCGACCTTGCGTCCTCCACGCCCCGATCGATCTTCTATAACTGATTTGATCGATCAACCAATTTCGATCTCATCTATCAAATAGTGAGTATTTTCGATTCCTCCTCGTTATTGTGTGTGTTGGATCGATTTGCGCTAAATCTGAGGAACATCTCCTCTCGGATCGGTTTGTTGGGAATTTCTATTGATGCCATTGATTTATCGTGATTTTGGTGGCTTTTTTAGTGTGTGTTTATTGGTGTAGTGTGTAGCTAATTTAGTACTAGGCTTCCAGATGATTCTTGGAAAATCTTGTGCTAGTGCATGAATCATGATTTTGGTTTTCGGAGATGGAACAATGTAGTTTCAAGGAACCACATGAAAAATTCATAGAGATACGTTTCTAGCAATATGAAATTTGAATCCTATTCTTTTGTTACATGGTTCGATTTAGATGCTTTCGGTTTTAAGCAGCCTAGGTTCTTTAGAATTCTGGTTCTCTAAATGCTTCTTTGTCTGAATGTAAGGGAAAGTTTGTGCAATTGCTTTGGTTCCTGTAATTGTTTTTCTTACCTCTTCTGATGTTACATGATCAGCATTAGGGAATTTGAATTCCTGAAAGCTAACACAGTTCTTAGGATTAAGGTTAGTTTGGTTTGAGACTTTGAGTTCTTGACGTTTGGGTCTGATGAACTGTGGGAAGTCATTAATTTTTGTGTCGGTTTCTGATAGGAGCTTATTATCTCAGAAATTGGAAGTTTTGTTTATGATGTTACAATATTTTTCGAGTAGGATGATTTTCAATTTCTTAGTCATATTTCTTAGGATTCAGATTTCTCTAATCATTTTGTGCGTGATATTCCTTAAAACGGGGAAGTCGTATTTTGTTTATCCCAGTCAGAGGTCAGTGTCGTAGAATTACAAATTGATCGCTGGATTTAGTATGATGGTTTGAGTTGTATAAACTGGGTTCTTGAGCTTTTCAGACTGTGCTAACTCTAGTTTGCCAATCTATTTTCCTATGATGTTTGGAAATCATGCGGATGTCTATGTGTTAGTGAACATTACACACTAAGGAACCATGAAAAGTCCTTCACTTTGTTAGACTCCATCTAGTAACAACTGATTGCTATTATTGATATCTTTCATATGGTCTGAGTTTGTGATCAATTTTTGTGATATAATATTTTGCTCTTGAGGATTATGTGTTGATCATGATAACTACGAAATTGTGAATAGTTCATTGTATTACTTCTTACTTCATTTTAGTAGGCTCGCTGAGTTATTTTGTTTTACATGCTCTACGACTTCTAGGAGAATGGTGTGATCAATATATGCATTTCTTTAAGCTGCTATACTTAAAACTCTTTTTTCATAATCTTTTACTTTAAAGGAAAAATGAAGCATATAGTAAAGATCTTGAGCCTGTTGGTGGCAATCTCTGCCTTCTGGATTGGTCTTTTGCAGGCTGCAATTATTCCTCGAAGCCATACATGGTTGGTGAGTAACAAACAATTTTTTTCCTCCTTTTGGGTTCTTGTTATTTTTAAATTAGGATTTGTGTTCTGATTTGGTAATGTTTCTGGTCTGTCTTACAGCTACCGATCTACTTTGTTGTATCCCTCGGATGCTATGGTCTATTGATGGTTGGAATCGGACTAATGCAATTTCCTACCTGTCCCCAAGAAGCAGTTCTGTTGCAGAAGGTACTTTTGAGACAAACTCATTGTTTGCCATATTTGGTCTTGTTCTTAGAGTCCAGTGTTATTTATTGCTGACTTCCTTTAATCTTTTGCTAATTTAGTGTCTTTTGTCTATTTCTTTGGTTGCAGGATATTGCAGAGGCCAAGGACTTCTTCAAGCACAAAGGGGTAGATGTTGGATCGAATTGACACAAAGGCTTTTAATGACCAACAATCAGAAATAGTTTTTGTTTTTGACAAACCTTATATGTACTGTTTGGATGTTTTAGATTAAACAGTGTTTCTGAAGTAAAACTTTCTGTTATTTTTTTTTTAGTCTTTCTTTCTTGCCTAATGTCAATGGATGATGCCGAGAAAAGTAAGCAGAATGATGAAACTAAAATAGCTTAGAGGTGAAAGAGACTAAGTTCTATTTGAAACATTGTTACACCAGCAAACACCTTTGTGTTCTTCAGTAAGTTGTAGAAATTAAAAGCCATAAAATCTGATGCGAGGAGAAAAATAAATGTGTGTGAGAGAGAGAGGGGGAGAGAGGGGGAGAGAGGGCTTGTTTATCTCTTCTTCTTGCCACCTTTGCCTGACTTTGAAGAAGTTCCAGAGGTTGAAGTTGTGGCCTGAGGTTCCTGCTTCTTCGCTTTCTGAGCTTCCTGCTTCTTCACTCTCTCTGGATGTCTTGGTACCAACTCTGCAATTTTCTGCAGCAGATGCTTCCCTGCAAATATACATCAACACAAACAGCACATCATATGTCTGTAGCAAACAACTTGCAGTGTTCTCACAGGTGGAGTCTTTTCGTGCAAATCATGTAAAGCAGCAAGCCAAATGTATATTCATATATTTACTCTTTCCTGGGCATGAATAAGATAAGGTCAAAGTAAACACAAACATCTAAAGAACCAGCAATTTGAAAAATGGTTTTACGTCCCTCATTTCTGTGTGTTAAGGTCTAGCTATTTACATGCAACAGTATCAATGCATACGCATACGCAAATACAAACACATCCGAAGTCTTGCAATTTGCCAAAAAGTGCTTGAAACAAACAAGTTCTATATAGGTTATTTCTCCATCTGAGCCTGCCGTAATCATTTGCAACAATAAAACCAAAAGAAATTCAAGATATAGCAACATGAATTGATAAAGAATTTGCGAAGAAGAAAATCAGATAAACTTAGCATTAGGTGAAATTCCGGTAATAACAAACATAAACATCTAAAGACTCAGATAATTGCTGCAGTAAGTTCCATATGCATAAGATCGACCTAATGCTGACCAGAAATGAAAAATGTAGGGATCCCTGGGAACGACTCTTAAAACCTCCAGATCAAAGGTTGAAATTGGTGATGATATAAATGACAAATTATCTATGAAAAAAGTTTGGATCAGGTTGATATGAGATAAAAAAAGCAGAACTTTAATATCAGAGACCAGAGTTTTGATAACAAGCAGGTTTGTATCAGGCAACATTCGTAGGAAGGTTGAACACATCCACACATGGGTAACAAGGAGAGATCTTAACAACACAACAAGAGTAAATAAAGCAGATTCCATTTTCTAGCTCAACATAAGTAATCACACTAGGATAACACTTAAAGAAAACACAAAAGACAAATGTTTAACAGCGAGCGGATATAGAATCAGGAATACAGATGAGAGGTCTTACTTGAAGTAATAGCTGGATTGAGTAAAGTCCCATCTTCCCTTTTCAATTGCACCCTCACTCTCCCTACTTGCATGAAATCGCGCGGGTATGCTTTGTCAATCTAAAAATACCAGACAATCTCAAATCAAAGACTGTGTTTAAAGACATCACATTCTCCGTAAGTAAACCCAATTAGATAAAGGATTACCTCGACGGCACTAGGGAGTTTCAAATGCTTGCAACAATCACTAATCTCAATGCAATTCGGATTCTCACATGATTTACTCACACTGATTCTTCTTCCCTCAGCTACAGTTTTCTTTGAGTTAATATAAACTGGATATATCACTACCCATTTCTTGATGTTGATCGTTCCACTATCCATCTACATATCAAAAACCAACAGAAACCAAACAGATTAATGCAACTCTTAAATCACAACGATTTGATAAAAACAACAAAAAATCTGAAAAACCTAGAAATCCACGACCTACGCGATTAAACCCATAAAAATTACACAGATCTGTTTCGATTTCAAGGGAATTGTCAAGCATATAGAACCCAAATCGTATACATGCGCAAGAAGAGGAAGATAACTATTATTATACCCCACGAAAGATCAATGGATGCTTTAACACAGAGAGAAGAGAAACAAACCAGAGATTAGATCCGTAAAATTCAGAAAATCAAGCTATTAGAGTGAAATTGCTTGGATCAGAGATTCACGTATCGCCGGAATAGAGCAACGACGGAGAAAGAGGAATTTCGCAATTGAGATTTTTACTTGACTTGCTTTATACCGTCATCTAAAAACTTGAACCGGATTAAACCGTACCAAACCAGATTAAACCGGATATGAAAAACTGAAATTGATTTTTGATTCGTTTGTTCTCTCATAAGAAGGAGAGCTAAAGGAGGAGGACCTGACTTTTCTCGGACTTCAGAGAGAATGGAGACTGAATACGACCAAGTTCTTCGCTCCGTTGCTCAGGTGAACATCGCCGATCAAATCGGAGAATCCGGCGACGTAGACAGAGACGGAGACGGTGTAAAAGTATCGTGCTTCACTGAAGTTTTCGATGATGTCACTATCCAGTTCCAGATCATCCGTCTCGCGAAACAGGTTTCCCGCCAATAAACTTAGCTTGATCCTTTTAACCTAATTCTCAATTCTTCGATCGTCATCGGAACTAAAATTTGAAATCGAACTGTAGATTTACGTATGGGTCGGTTGCAATTCCGCTAAATTTGGGAGTTTGTACGCAGCCGCTTCAACACGACCGGTGAGTTCAGTGAAATTCTAAAGCTGCAATTTTTAGGGTTTATGTGTTTAAACTTTAAATTGGTGTTTTCTTTGTTTCTATGGCAGAGTAATACAGTGAGTGTTACTTCAGTACTTGGTGGAACATCTGATAACACTGGATCTGGCATTGCGCGTAGATTAGGTTAGAATCTGATTATAACAATTCTTGCAATTTCAAATCCTTCTCTTTTTTGATGATACAGTTATAAATTCTCTGGTCGTTTGTGTGTTCTAGTGTTGAAGACTGGTCTCAATATAATCCTGGCTTGTAACATCCCTAAAAACAATCCATTGCTTGAGGTTCTTTCTTTAGCCTTTTGCTTTTGTCTTATAGAAATGAGAAAGTAACAAGCTTTGTTTCTGTATCGTACTCATTTTGATTTTCTTGTTTGTGTAGGCTAAAGCTGAGAAAGTGTTGATCAGAAAGCTGATTGATCTTGGTTACACAATGTCAAAACCTGTAAGGGCAACATAACCAATTTAGTTGTTTCTTGAGGTTGTTTCTCCTCTTTGTGTCCTACCATTTTATATGCGGAAATTTTTGAATGATTATAACGTATCTTGATCAAGTGGCATGAATGATTACTTTTTTTGGTTTCCGATAAGTTTTCTTAGCATCGTATCTTCTCCTCATTTAGTAGATCCATTCACCTGCAATGGTCGATAAGAATGATTGTTTAAAGAGTTTGTTCCTTTTTCATGAGTTTCAAATGTGTTTTTTTCTTCCTCTCCTTGTCAATTTCGCGTGATTTCTTCACCCAATTTGGAAGCTCAATTGATGTGAACCATGTGGTGGTACATTGTTTGCATGCTTGATCTTTTGTTCGGTAAAAAGGCATATCCTTAGGACAAACCAAAGTGTGAAATTGAAACTATGATGAAATGAAACCATTCTCCTTTACATCTATATACAGATGTGTGTGTATATTGAAGTCTAGATAAAAGTCACTTATTCATCCCTTGAGAAGTTGTTTTGGCATCTAACCTTAAATTTGTAAACTCTCTGACCAAAAGTTAAAAAAAAATTATGTTTTTTGGTTTGGTTCTTTGGTTTAACTAATTGGACCCAAATAAACCGAAATAAAAAAAAACCCCAAATTTTGTTTTATTGATTCAGAGACTCGTATCCGACGACGTCGTTTTGGCATATGGTATGGGTTTATTTTCACAAAAACGACGTCATTTTAGGATTGATTTTTTTTTTTCCTCAGAGACGATTGTGAGGAAAGCTTGTTGATCGTTGCGGTCTGAGTAAGATCATTGGTTGGTCTCTTCTTTCCTTCGATTCTTTGCTTCATCCAGATTAATCACAGTTCCAATTCAATTACATTTCTTTTTAGTCATTGCGACTCTTATGCTCATTGTTCATAGCTCATAGGCTTTTCTTCTGTTGAATTCACAAACATTGTCTTCTCTTCGATCAGATTAATCCCTGAGAGTGGCATAATGTGATTAGTTTTAGTCCTAACAGTCCTCTGTTACATGTGTTTTACTGTTTAATTTCAATTTTGGTACACACATATATAAAGTTAAAAACGTTTGAGGAGTAACAAATTGAGTTTGATGTGAGAGATTCTCTGTGTAATAAATATGCCAAAGAGACCATCTTCTGTTTAGCGGTAATTATAAGGCTTTTCGAATCCCCCTTGGCTATCAGGTTTTGTTATTTACTCTCTCTGGCAAAGCTGAGGATAAAGTTATGGCAACGGTAAAAGAGGACCATTGTGAGGATTCTCTTACTTATATGGGTTTTGCTCTGCACCAGGTAACACTAGTATTGGTTCCATAATACTGCAAAAGTTAGTTTCTTTTTAGAGTTACAGTGGTTGACTTCCCTTTGCTTGCAGGCTAAACTTGCTCTGGAGGCTCTTGAAGTTCCTGTTGGGTCTCTAATTTTTGCCTTTGCTTCATCCCAATTTGTGTTACCAGTGTATCAATTAATTTCATATAAGAGAACTAATGCTTCTTTTCATATTCTTTTTTCTGGTTTGTCTGGATCAGATGTGTTATTCTTGAGGATGGTAAGGTCATTGCTTCAGGGCGAAACCGAACAAATGAGACACGCAATGTAAATATTCAAACTTTTACAAGTAACTAAGCTTGATTTTTTATATATGTTCTAGTTATAACCTAGTTTCTTCAGTTAAAGTTTGGATTCACTATTTCTCTCAATCTTGTTTTATTGAGTAATACATAAACGTATGATTGTTACTTTGGTTTATTCATATATATTGAGGCATTTGTTTCGATTTTGTTTGCCTCAGGCCACAAGACATGCTGAGATGGAAGCAATTGATCAACTTGTCGGACAGTGGCAGGAAGATGGACTCTCACCTTCACAAGTCGCTGAGAAATTCTCGAAATGCATTCTTTACGTAACATGTGAACCTTGCATAATGTGTGCATCGGCCTTATCGTTTCTCGGTATGAATCCTTAAGCTGAATAAGACATTTCATTTGATTTTTTTTTTTGTTTCTGATGGTGATAAATGATATGCTATTGCTCATAATTGAAGGTATAAAGGAAGTGTATTATGGATGTCCAAATGATAAATTTGGGGGATGTGGTTCCATTTTGTCGCTTCACTTAGGCAGTTCCCAGTCGTCAGATATCATGTAAGTTATACGATCACACTACAATCTTTTAAAAAAATGCCTTGTTAATTGATTTCTGGTTTGATAGTGAGGAAGCTCAAAGAGGAAAAGCGTATAAATGCAGAGGAGGAATAATGGCAGAAGAAGCTGTCTCTCTTTTCAAATGTTTCTATGAGCAAGGCAATCCCAACGGTAACCACTCTCATTTTTACCTGCAATTCTGTTCCCTGATGAAACATCTCAAAAGTTTTTGTTTTTTGGGTTTTAGCCCCAAAGCCACACCGCCCTGTAGTTCAAAGAGAGAGGACTTGAGGTGAACGTATTGTTGTAACTGAAAGTCTTCGGCGTCTGCAACAACGGCAGTCAGACCTGAAGATTACGCTCACAGTCCAGTTCATTACGCCGTCATTTTGATCAAAGAATGAAGCCATCAATCCAGAGCAGAAGCCATAATTTGGGATTCCAAAAGCTGATTTAATAGTTTTGGATTTTATTCAGATAAACTATTACAATCAAAATAGCATGTTCTATTATCTATATATCTGATTTGCCAAATCATGGCTACTTCCTGCATATGAGGACTGACTTCAACAAAACTAAAACATAAACAATTCAAGGTTTCTAAGATTAGGAGCTGAAATGCCAAAGTGGTGGAACATATAACAAATCGATCATCCCAAATTTTTGTCTTTAGAAAGTAGAAATCAACTTCTTTAACTTATTACATATCTTAAAAAGTCTCCTGAAACATTATTCTTAAACAAAGTCTTCCACTAGTAGCATATTGTTCTCTAGATAGATACTTATTAAGAAGATAAAAACATCTTCTTGCTTAATTGATGGATAGGCGTGGGACACAAAAGTCAACAAGATAATGGGTTGGCTCTATGCCCTTCTGTGTGTCATCCGGAGAGTATAACTGAAACCACCTGCTCATAGCCACTTTGAGAAATATGAACTTCTTCTTGTACCATACCTTCACTGTTGCAATGGACTTCCCTTGGATATTCTCGGCTCCAATTATGATCGCATCTCTAAGTCCGACATAGCTAGCTGGCTCACCTGACGTGCCACAGTAAATTCCCTACCACACAAAACAAATGAACAAATATTATAGATCAAATGTCTCTCTCTCATTTTATATTGAATCTTAACTAACAGCTATAGAACTTACGTCTTGTTGAAGTTCAATGTGTGGCATGAACACATGCAGTTTTGCTCCTACTGGTTGATGCACCAACAAGTCACATGCTTCCTCCATAGTCTTAGGCTCAATCACTTGTCCTTTCATCGAAACGAGATCAGGTTTATATGATGATGGGGGCGTTATCACAGATCCCAAGCGTGGCCAATCTTCTGCTTTCGGTATGCCGCCTTTGTTTAACGCAAACTCAAGACAGTCTTTGACAGTGAGCTTGCGCCCCCTGTGTGAGCCACCAGCATTGTCCACCAAATACTTAGCCGAGTACTCAGTATAGACACTATCCAGCTTAAGTGCAAACCGTGCAGAGCTTATCAGATCAACCGCTACGACAGCAGCAGAAGCAGATTCATCTGCAAAGACAAAAACACAAAATGGAAAAATGAATTAAAATCTGAATGGATTCCCATCTTACAAGATAAGGACATGATCAGAATCAACTAATGGGTAAATTTTGGCTTGCACTAATCCAGGCTAAAACTAAAGCAATGTGGCAAAGCATTGATTCAGCACCACATCCTTATTATACAGCCACAAAATTTGGCTGATAGATTGGTCAAATGACTCATATCTCAGTGTTAACATAAAAGAGAAGATTTGAAATCATGATAAAACTTACAAAGACAACACACGTTAAGGGTCTAACACACATGATATCAGTATCTTAGAGAATATAAAACCTATCGTAGCAAACAAGTTATCGGAGCCAACAAGAACAAAACTTAAGTCGTTGGTGTAAGAATATGAGCAGAATCAGCTGTGATAAATCAACATAATGATCAGTAAACTTTGCCTTGCACTAAACCAGGCTAAAACTAAAGCAATGATTCAACACAACATCATAATTCTACAGCCACAAGTCACCATTCCCATCTTACAAACCAGAGTAGCAATTTACTTTTATGAGTATATTCTAGAGTGGCAATTTTACTTACCGTGATCTTGGTGATTCTCAATCTCTGCGATACTGCCGAGAGAGAATGCCAATTTGAAATTGGGATCATAGGGTGGGGGGAGTGCCATCTGCAATTACTTTACCCTGAAAATTTGCAAGGTTCAACAAAATACATTAATGAAATGTGAATAGAGAAAATGGAAAGAACATTAACTAAGAAGGGAATCAAAGTGAAACGGTTACACAAAGAGTTTATTGTTCAGAGGAATAACGAAAGAAAGGAAGAGTTTTGCTTCAAAAATTAGATCAAAGAAATAGCAGAAGAAGAGATTTTTATCAAAAAAACAGATCAATGAGACGTTTGTGGCTAAATCGAGAACCAATGCGATAGCTTATTAACCAAAGAATGACCAAACTACAGTAAAGGAGGATTAAATGCTAAAACCTAACTAAAAAGCTCCTCATTGTTCACTAATCACACTAAAAACTAATGCACAAGCAACAACCGTAACATACCAAAGCAAGAGCTAAACAAATCCTAAAAGGTAACGCTAATCAACCTGAAAAAGAAGACATTTTTATCAAAGAAACAGCAAACAAAGAAGACATTTTTATCAAAGAAGCAGCAAAAAAAGAAGACATTTTTATCAATGACAAAAAAACACAAAAGGATGAGTTTGTGGCTAGATCGAACCAATGTGATAGCTTCTTTACCAAAGAATGAAAAAACTAAAGGAGGATATATTAAACGCTAAAAAGCTTAACTAAAAGCTTCTCATTGTTCACTGAAAAAGGCAAAATGCACAAGCAAAAATCCTTAACAAACCCTAAAGATACGTAACCTAAAAGCTCCTCATTTGTTCACAAATCACACTGAATAAGGCAGAAACTGTAACAAAATCCTAAATTAGAGAGGAAAAGAAAACCCTATTAGTAACACTAATCGCACTTACAAAGGGAAACTCACAAGCAGAGGAAGCAGAGTAATAAACCAAAGGAATCGGTAGAACATTTAGTTTTTATAGACAAGAGAATGGGTTACTCGAAAAACCCTAGAGAGAGGACAGATGTCATCATCCTGTGTTGTCAAACGTATCAAGGGCTGCGAGAATCGTAACTTTCTCCGTACAAGCAACTTTCATCACCGCTCTGCTCTGTTTTTGTTTCGTCGTTTTCCTCCAACTTTTTTGAAGGTGACCGTTGTGCCTTACACGACGTCGCTTTGGTATTGGGCTTCATCTTTACGTGGCCCAAGATAAAAGAAGAACTTAAATTCAGAAGGAAAAAAGTTACTCATTTTTTTTGATAAGGAAAACAAAAGAAGTTATTCATTGTTTGTTTGTTTGTTTTTCAATTTAGTTTTTGGTTTTGAATTTGAGTGATAGTGAACAAAGAGGATGAAAACTGAAAAGGCTAGTGAAGATCACTATATATGCAATTACGAAATTTCCCTAGGCTTATTTTCTCGTAATTCAGAAATTTCAACTTATATAGTGTGTTGTGTTCTATACAATTCGTATTATGTTTAGAGAGTTTGAGAATATCTACATAGAGATAGATTGTAAATGCATTATAAATCGAAAGCTAAAAATGCTTCTGCCTGTAAACACCATTATCGACTAAACTTAGTTATATTCATAAGAAAACACCAACCAAACATTTAAGAGAGAGTACAAACCACGTTAAAATCCAAAAGGTAAATATAAACTCATCAAAAACTCCATGTATTTAAAAATTGTTTAGTAAGAGGAAAGATTCTCCTAATTTTACTTCTCCAGATTCTTCTGTTCTTAATTTCGGATGAGGTGATTTAAAAAAAAAATACATAAGTTTTACTAAAGCATAAGTGAAATGTCAAATAAGCCTAATCGAAACAAATCCATGGAATATACAATCCGAATTAGAATATGCCAACTTACAAATCTTCATGATAATCGAATATAATACACCCCCAAGTGCACAAAAAAAAAAAAAAAAAAAAAAAAAAAAAAATACACCCCCAAATCTTCACAAAAACGCCAATCTAAGACTTGAATGTCAAATAAGCTAAATCCTAAAACATATCAAACCCATGGAATATGCAGTCCGAATCACAACTATTGGACCGCATGTCTGCATTAATAATATAAATTGACAGACATTTGTTGGGTGTTGGTCCCTCTTCATAGTAAGAAATTGTGTTTGCTACATTTTATTTTGTTTTAATTTTCATTGATAAAGGAGTACAACTTTTGCAAATGGAAATTGTACAACAAAAAGAAACGGAAGCAAAACAAAAACAAAGCTGGTTTTCTCGTCAAGGTACTTTCAGGCTTAATCACATGCTCCTTAAGATCATCTGCGATCTCATCAGGGCCGGCCCTCAAATTTTGGGGGCATAAAAAAGTTTTAAGGGGTTTATAGTAGTTTCTAAGTTCTGGGCCATTTTACAAAAGTAAAATAAAATTGGAGGCATATTTAATAAATAAAAATATCTAGAATTTTGGGGGCCAAAAACAATTGCTTCATGTAGCTCACTAAACTTAATTACTCACAGTCTCATCATGTTGTGTTGAGATGAGAACAGTTGTACACGGATCGGAATCATACAGTCACTTGAGTCCTAGTTACCATCAGGTCAGGTCTCAACCAAGGACAAGTCACGTTCTTGCCAACTTTAGTGAGTTTTGCACCAAGCTTAGTACCTAAAACATGGCTAAGAGGCGTAACCAAACATATGACCTTGATCTCCAGCACCAATATCTTCAGGCTTCTTCGTAAGATGACCATGAACACCTTGAGCTAAGTCATGACCTTATTGCATCAATGTTAACGAGGACTTTACAGTTATCAGTATCAAGGCCATCAACATCGTCAGAGGTGATACCAATAGCACGGCAAGTCTCACATACGATCTTCTCGTAGTCTACTTTGGCTTTTGTGTTGTTTTCTCCGGAAACCATGACCATATTGTTCTTGGTGCAAGTCTCACAAGAATATTTGCTCTCTAAGTCTTGTTCAAGGAAAGCATCAAGGATTGTGTCGGAGATCACAGAGCTTATCGTTAACAGACTCAATAGTATTTTAGAAGTGAAACAATGGCAACTGTATCCGCTAAAAACATGAAACTATCAGTCATCCTGGTCACTTACTAATGAGAAATAAACACCAAAAAAAAACCTGAACATATTGAAATACAAAACGAAATAAGCCTGCATTAACTGTTTCAACAGCATCAAACAGTAGCAGAAAGAGCATTCCCATTCAAGAAGTGACATGATTTGGGGACTGTAAGAACAACATCAAACCACACAACTTTGCCCCAAATCTCATCTCCATCGCGTCTTTCAAGCTCAATCTCTGCACACCAAATCCTATTTTCTTGATAGCCATCACGCTCCTCATCCCACAAAACAACCATCTTTCCACCGTAATCAACAATTTTACAATGCCAACGCTCAGGGTTGTTGAAGAACTCAACCAAAGTTTCAAAAGTTTTCAATCCCTTCCCTAACATTTCAGGCAAAACTTCAAGACCATTCACTAGCTTCCATAAATGTACCTTATAGTCATACCACTGGAAGAGTCCGTGAAACCAATAGAACAAGACGTTGTCTATCACACAACAACTATAGTACAGTGCACTAGCCATATTAATATATAATCCTACCGGGTTCCATCTACCTTCCTTGGGATTGTAAACCACCCCAGACTCATCAGAGTCATCACTAAAGAGGTAGAATTTTCCACCAAGTCCCATGCTTTTGTGTTCAACTACACTTTCATTGCGTATCTCCGTGCTAGGGCTAGTCACAGAGCTCCAAGTGTGAGTCTTTGGATCAAACACTTCAACCCAGTTCACAGAATTGCGATCTTCACAACCTCCTGCTACATATATCTTCCCGTCAAGTCCACTAACAGTACTGGAGAAGGAGCTCCGGCCCACCCGCATGCTTGGAGCCTGGTTCCATGTGTGAGACTTACAATCCAAGACAGAGACTTTAGAAGAAGAGGGTACATCCCCACCAATTTTGTAGATATTCGAACCAACGGCGACCAGATGATTCGACGAATGCAATTGCGGAGAAGAATTGGGAGAGGATGGGATTAGGATTGGGACCAGAATTTTTCCACTTGAATTCTTCTTCTTCATTCGGTTAGGTATTTGGCAGAGAGTGTACCAGCGAGGGTTAGGGTCAGGGGGGAACCGTAAGCACACATAGAGACAGCTCTCGGCGTGGCCTAGGAGAGATCGGGTCTTGTAAAGCTCCGGTGAAGCAACGAGAGATCGAAAGCTCTTGGAGACTAAGGAAAGAGTAGGATAGTACATTCTAGAGACGCGTGCAATGCAGCTCACTAGCAAATCATTGGGAAGTGACGGATTCGCCGGTTGCGTTGTCGTCGTCCTCTTCTTAATAGGGCTCGACATCATAGGGTTTGATCAAACTTGAGATATCTTCTACTACTTCAGTTCCTCTCCGACTGCATAGAACAACAAAGTCAAAAGGGAGTTTAAGGTTTTTGACTTGAGAGACTTATCTAGGGTTCGATCAATTTAGAAATAGTTATCAAAATCCCTTCATTTAATCTTAATCGGCCTCAAAATCTAAATTTGAAAATTCTTAGGTTAAAAATAAAGAGCCTTGGATGACACGGTTCATTGATTGATCGAATAATAATGGTTCACACGACTACATTATTAGTGATATTTAACTTTTGTATCTAATTTTAAGAACATGATGTTACTCCTCTCGGAAAAAGCAAGTGACTCATGAAACGACTTATGTCACATGTAGTTTATATTAAGAAGATTTATATGATTAAATGTATATATCTAAAATATTAGGAAAATCTACTAAAAATTAATTAAGTAATAATTTAAAAGAAAAAATATATATAAATATAGCATGATATTATAATCTTGCTTAAATACAATTATAACCAAATATAATAAATGTTAAAGAAGATAGTACTATCTTTCTTCAAAACATGTCATTTTAGTATTCAATGCTAGATCTCTTCTTCTGATAATATATATAGCCATATAGGTAGAAGACATACAAGTACCAGGCGACAATACTAAGAGAAGAGAAAATATGTCCGACGAAAACTATCCAGAACGTCCAGGCGAACCAGAGTGCAGCTATTATCTTAGAACTGGAAACTGTTATCTAAAACAAAATTGCAAATACCATCACCCCAAGAACATAACGCCGAGAGAGCCTCCATGTCCTCTCAATGACAAGGGCTTACCATTAAGACCTGATCAAGCCATTTGCCCACATTACAGTCGCTTCGGCATTTGCAAATCCGGTCCGATTTGTAAATTCGACCATTCTACCACACCATAATCCTCAGCTCGTAAATGATGATAATGAATTTGATATTTCTTTCTTCTGTTTATATTGGATGATATTCTAATATTTATCTATATATGCAAAATCATGTATTTTATTCACCCTTTGTAATAATATATGAAATGATGTTATCACCATGGTATCAAAAAATTTCATTTCATGTAACAAAGATTCGATTTAATCCAACCAACAAGGCCTAATCTTCAAGTTAATCGGCTCCAATATTGGGACCAATGGGTCCATAATGAATGCCTTAACAATAAACACAAAAAAGGGTCTTACCTTATTTTAGGAGCTTTGGTTTTACTGTTTACTTACGAGAATAAACAAGGATCACAACAACACACTCGATGCCAAACTAGTTTTACAAATGCAATTTTTGCAAACGATGAGACTAATTGCTAATCTTTACTTTATCTGAGTGAATAGTTTTAAGTGAAATGAACCTACCAAAAATTTAACAACCTCTCATATCATGATCTTGGGGGTAGACACCTTAGACTCTTCCTTGACTGTGTCACCTGGAAGAAAGAACATAAAACCAGTTAGTGAACACTCAGCTAATATCCAAAAGCGGCTTCTAATCATGATCATGTCTATTTCCCTTTCCGTTACGCTCTAATGCATATCGATTCTAACCCCATTTCTCTTTGTATTCGATAAGTGCAACAGATTTCCTTATCAACCCCACAAAGCTACCCTAGTTTGTACTTGCATCCCATCACAAGCACATATATTTCACTCAGTGATACCTAACTACACATTCTAAAAACCAGTAACCCTTTTCACTTATTAAATCAACGGAATAATCTTTTTCCTGTTCTCCATCTACAGGTGACATATAGACAAACATGACACTAGTTTGTATAGATATGCAATTACCAGATTGAGTTGTTGTGGTGACTTCACCATAGATGGCCTTAAGCGTCGACAGAGGAACAACAGCGGCATTACCCGCAGAGGCAGCTTCAGCAAAGAGCTGCTGTTTCCACTCCCACATTGTGACTTTCATTTCCTTATTAGACTTAAAGAGCGAATCTTTCTGCTCTGCTAAGGCCTCAACATACTTTTGCTGTTTATCAGATCTCAATCCCAAAACCACAAACGATACTCCCAAACAAGTGTTTATGACAACATTGTTGTTCATTGCTTCAGAGAGAAACATTGCAATCTTGTTCGCCATTCCTGTGTAGTCAATTCCATCAGTATTTTGTTAAATATTAGCAACTAGCAACCAAAATTATGTGAAGATGGTGATGTACAATTAGAGAACGAAAGTGAGATCAATCAGATCGATCAATAAGCTAAACAATGAATCCAGGAAACAAAAAATGAAATTGAAGCAAAAAAAATGAATCTCAGAGATAAAATCGGAAGGAGAAACAAAGTTACGATCGAAGAAAGGCTTACCTGAAATGAAGATGCGTTGACGGCGACGGCGGTGAGGTTTTTGATACGACGGCGCCGAGAGAGAAGTCGCTTCCGTTTCAGTATTACTAAAGGTTGTTTTGGGGAGATGAATGTAATTGTAATACAACTTAAGGGGTATTTTAGGTATTTCACAGTTCTGCCAAGTAAGTGAAAGTACGCAACAATGGTCATTTAGATATTTGTTTTTAAAAAGTGTTAAAGACGATCATCATCATCACAAAACACTTTTTCAAATTGTCGTCTAAAGTCTCTTAAACCACCATCGAAGATTCGACACAGAATTTCTTCTTCTCTCATTTCCAAGTTTTTTCTTGTAAGCGAAAGGTAAATAAATGCTTCTTCTTCCTCTGTTACGAGTTTCCCTTTTTGGTACTTTCCTTAAATGTCAAAAACCCTTTTTAAAGAATCGAGGGTTTCGAATTTCATGTCGATTTTGATGATTAAAGTGAATCTCGGAATTGATTTCGAGTTTTCAAGTTTGTAATCCGTTTACTAGGTTAAACCGTCGTTGACTTGTGAAAATTCTTGGTCTCCTGTACATAAATGTCTCTCTCAGTTGTTTCATGGTGTTTGAGATTTTGATCGGAACTATGAACTATTTACTTCTTCTGATATTGACTTTATTTTTGTTGAATTTCCATAATTCTGTTTTTGTAAATGCTCAAAAACCTTATCTTGATAACTATTCCTTTTTTTGGTTTTTACTGGTAACTATTCTGTGAGGTTCTCTGAAAGTTTTGTTCTTTTCTCTTTTGCAACAACATTTACTTAAAATTTGTCTCTGAACATGTTTCTGTTCATGATTAGCGAAATGTACAAGCTTAATCATTGCACATCTTAGACAAATTCGTCCAATCATTTCTTGTCTAGCTTTTGTTGGTATCTGCAAAATCTCTTTGTTATCAATAATTCTAAGAAGCTGTTTTTATAACTGTTTGGTGACATATACTGTTACAGTTTAGTTAGTTCGTGGGAGAGAAGATTGTAATGAGCTGTTTTGGTTGGTGTGGGAGTGAGGATTTTCGCAGCGCTGCTGACACTGGTCCAAGACCAGCGCATAACCCAGCAGGTAGCTCAGTTCCTATTTCAACTGCATTACTTGTTAGTGTTTCTCTTAGTGTCAATCATTTTGGTTCTAAGTAATGGGAATTTAATTGTTCTAAAGGTTACAATGGAGGCCACTATCAAAGAGCTGATCCACCCATGAACCAGCCAGTTATTCCCATGCAGCCTATTTCTGTACCAGCCATTCCAGTGGATGAGTTGAGAGATATAACCGATAACTATGGTTCAAAGACCTTGATCGGTGAAGGTTCATATGGAAGAGTGTTTTACGGTGTTCTTAGAAGCGGTGGGGCAGCTGCTATCAAGAAACTTGACTCTAGTAAGCAGCCAGATCAAGAATTTCTTTCCCAGGTAGGTGTTATTTAATACATCAATGCATTTTTGCATGGCCATTCATCTTGTAAAATATGGCCAACAAGAATCGCCTCGGCGTAACCTAGTCCTTATGTGTCCTATGTGAAAATGGTCCAGCATCAAACCACTCCTTTGGGTGTTCTGTCTACTTTTGTTTTGTTACTGACGTAGAAACTTCTAACAGATATCAATGGTTTCGAGATTGCGACACGACAATGTTACTGCACTTATGGGTTATTGTGTTGATGGCCCTCTCCGTGTTCTTGCTTATGAATTTGCTCCTAAAGGATCTCTTCATGATACTCTTCATGGTGAGTGATTAAACGTAAACCATCGCTTTGAACATCTGGAAAGTAAGTTACAGGAAGAAGAAACTAATGAAACGTGGTGACTCTTTGGTGCAGGCAAAAAAGGTGCCAAAGGAGCACTGAGAGGTCCTGTTATGACGTGGCAACAGAGAGTCAAAATCGCTGTTGGTGCAGCCAGAGGACTTGAGTACTTGCATGAGAAGGTGAGCCCTCAGGTTATCCACCGAGACATCAAATCCAGCAACGTACTTCTGTTTGATGATGATGTTGCCAAAATTGGTGATTTTGATCTGTCTGATCAAGCCCCTGACATGGCTGCTCGCCTTCACTCAACTCGTGTGCTAGGAACCTTTGGCTATCACGCTCCAGAGTAATGCCCTTTTAAAGATATTCTTTCTCTTGAACAGTTATTTTCAGTTTGTTCCACTCAGACTAATCTACCGGCCGGCTGCACGTCTTCATTCAATAATGTTTGGTTCTCATGATCTAATGTTATGTTTAACTTATTCATTCACATGGATTTCGTTTTTCATGTTAATTTTTTTCTTTCTCATACGTGCTATTGCATTTCTTCTCATTGACGAATCTAAAGCCTATTTGTGTTATGTATTTCAGATATGCAATGACAGGAACGTTGAGCTCAAAGAGCGATGTATACAGTTTTGGTGTTGTTCTGCTGGAGCTCCTTACGGGTCGTAAACCAGTGGATCATACCTTACCGCGTGGACAACAAAGTCTAGTGACATGGGTAATGTTTATTGCAATCTTTTCTGCTTCTCATTCTGGTTTGCTGCATTGATAAGAGAATTTTTTTAATAGACTCAGCTACTCTGTTAAAAAATGACAAAGATTGGGTCAAAACCTCAAAGAATCTTGGAATAAATAGCCCTCCTTAGGCCTATAGATTTGAAACTTAGTATGTCAAAACAACAAAAGACGCTGGAAACAGCCAGAATTTTGTGAGAATAGATCAATGCGACTCTAAATGTTCCCTAGAAATGAAATACTGTTGCTCAATAATAAAGATGTTGTGTTGTCCCAGGCAACCCCTAAACTAAGTGAAGACAAAGTGAAGCAATGCGTTGATGCAAGACTACTCGGAGAGTACCCTCCCAAAGCTGTTGGCAAGGTATTAATCTCAAGATTGTTTCCCTCTCATTGTTTCATTAGAGCATAAAAAGATTTAACTTAGTGTATAACTTAGAAGACTAGTTTATCTTCTGAGCTCTGACATTAGAACCAAAGTAGCGAAACCAAAGTTCTGATGTTACCTATTCTTGCAAAAGGCCAAACAAAACAAGTGATAATCGCTCTCCGCATTCATCTACAATTGAAACATTTCATGATTCTGATTTTATTTGCCATATGATACAATATAATGATCAGCTAGCTGCGGTGGCTGCACTCTGTGTGCAATATGAGGCAAATTTTAGACCAAACATGAGCATTGTGGTGAAGGCTCTTCAACCTCTTTTAAACCCGCCTCGTTCTGCTCCTCAGACTCCACATAGGAACCCCTACTGATCAAAATATTCAATCCCCCATATCTCATCTTCTTCATGATGATTAATCAAATGTGTATTATTCATTTTATTCTGTATTTGTGTAAATTTCTGGGACCTTATTATCTCATTAACTCTTCATTCAAGTCCCACTTTTCAAGACATGTGTATCATTATATTTTATGTTTACTAAATTCTGATACTACATTTTCATTGAGATGATGTTTTAGCTCCAGGTCTGGATATTAATCATATCATAATGGAAATTTGCAGTACACCTTAAAAAAAAAAGAGATGTATGTATCGACGACGATGATTCGATGAAGTTGATATGCGATGCGACTGTCCCCAGAGAAATCCAGAGCTCTCCTCCGTTTCAGTACTTTGGCTGTTTGGGGGATTTTGACTGTGATTCATTGAATGGTATTCTAAGTATTGGACCCATATTAGACTTGTTCCAAGTAAGTACCAACAAGGCAACAATGGTCATCTAGTTATTTAAAAAGTGGTTGAGGAGGATCATTAGACATTTTCAAAATTCTCATCTGAAAGGGTAAACAACTATCAAAGACTCGACTCTCATTAGAGAATTTCAAGTTTTCTCTTTCTCTTGCTTTCCTTTCGAAGTTTTTTCTTGTAGCAAAAGGTAAATGCTTCTTCTTCCTCTGTTACGAGTTTCCCTTTTGGTACTTTGCTTAAATATCAAACCTTTACAAAAAGGAACTTCCTTTCGAGAGTTACAAAGGAGATGATTGTTTCTAACTTTTCAAGTTTGAAATCCGTATCGATCGCTAGGTTATATCTCGTTGACTTATGAAAATTCTAGGTTTACGGAACATAATGTCTCACTTGTTCGTGTTTGATAATTTAATTGGCTGAATAATATAGAGAGATAAGATCATTGATCTTACCATTTTACTCTCTACTCGTAGATAGGCAAATCTTTTTTTTTAAACTGTTTGTTGTCTATGTAACCTTGTTTATATATACACTTTTATAAGCAAGATATAGAAGCTTAAACTGCTAGAATATTAGTCCTCACGAAATGTTTTTTTGACACTTCATTAATATATTTAAGCATTTCATTGTGCATGCATAAAGTTTGGTGCAAACAGTTCATTAGAGTTCGGTGTTTGAACAATCTCAATGTTATCAATAAGATTGAGAAGCTGCTCAAACCTCTCTTTTTTTTTTATACCTTTTGTTCACATTTTGTTATTTTGTTTTCTGTATAAACTATTACAGTTAAGTTAGCTCGTCTGAGAAAAGGGTGTAATGGGCTGTTTCTGTTTTGGAGGCCACCATCAAAGAGCAGATTCATCAATGAACCAGCCAGTAATTCACATGCAGCCTATTGCTGTGCCAGCCATTCCAGTGGATGAATTGAAAGATATAACCCATAACTTTAGTTATTCAAAGGTATTAATCGGCGAGGGTTCATATGATGACCAAGTGTTTTACGGTGTTCTTAAAAGCGGTAAAGAAGCTGCCATCAAGAAACTTTACCCTACTAAGCATTCAGATCAAGAATTTCTTTCTCAGGTAGATACTATAAAGTACATCATTCAGTTTTTATGGACCATCATCACTTGCTTAAATGATCCAGCATCAAACCACTCCTTTGGAAATGTTCTGTCTACTTTTTGTTTTTGTTAATAATATAGAAAATTTCAACAGGTATCAATGGTTTCAAGAGTGCAACACGAGAATGTTGTTGCACTTATGGGTTATTGTGTTGATGGCCCTCTCCGTGTTCTTGCTTATGAATATGCTCCTAAAGGATCTCTTCATGATGTTCTTCACGGTGAGTGATTAACGTAAACCATCGCTTGCCGCTCGGATACGGATCAGTCACTCAATAATTAGTCATCTAAAAACTAACATACAAGAGGAAAAAAAACTATACAATGTGGTGTCTCTTTGGTGCAGGTCAAAATGGTGTCACAGGAGCACTACAAGGTCCTGTTTTGACGTGGCAACAAAGAGTCAAAATCGCTGTTGGTGTAGCCAGAGGACTTGAGTACTTGCATAAGAAGGTGAACCCTCAGGTTATCCACCGAGAGATCAGATCCAGCAACATACTTCTGTTTGATGATGATGTTGCCAAAATTGGTGAATTTTATCTGTATTATCAATATCAAGACCCTGACATGGCTTCTCGCCGTCATTTAAGTTGTCTGGATCGTCTGCTACTAAGATTAGTTCTTTTTCACTGTCCAGAGTAATACCCTTTTAAATATGTTCTTTATCTTGAACAGCAGATTAAACTAGGGGCTACACGACTTCTTTAAAGATTTTGAGTTATTTATTTCAGATTCACAAAGACAGGAATATTGACCACAAAGAGTGATGTCTACACTTTTGGCGTTGTTCTGTTGGAACTCCTTACGGGTCGTAAACCATTCGATTATACCTTACCGCGTGGACAGCAAAGTCTAGTGACATGGGTAATGTTTAGTGAAAATCCTCTCTGCTTCTAATTCTGGTTTGCTACATTGACAAGAGAAGCTTTTAAGAAGACCAATTTTTAATTCAGTCTCTGAAAAATGACAAAAGAGGGTCAAAAAACCATCAGGAAAACTTGGAACAAAAAACCCTCCTTAGGCATATATAAATGTAACTTATGTTGTGTGTTTTCTCAGGCAAGCCCTAAACTAAGCGAAGACAAAGTGAAGCAATGCGTTGATGCAAGACTACTTGGAGAGTACCCTCTCAAAGCTGTTGCCAAGGTATTAATCCCATTCCTCACACTTTTTCATTGCAGCAAAAATTATTTAGCTTAGGGTATAACTTAGAAGACTAGTTTATCTTCTGAGCTCTGACATTAGAACCAAAGTAGCGAAACCAAAGTTCTGGTGTTACCTTTACTTGCAAATGGCAAAGAAAACAATCGATAATTGCCGTTAGCATTCATCTACATGACGATTGAAACATTTCATGAGCCTGATTTTATTTGCTATATGTATATGGTGTGATATAATGATCAGCTAGCCGCGGTGGCTGCACTCTGTGTGCAGTATGATCCAGATTTGAGACCAGACATAAGCATTGTGGTGAAGACACTTCAACCTCTTTTAAACCCTCCTTGTTATTCTCCTTAGACTCCAGTCTCCACATAGGAATTCCCCTATTGATCAACTGTTATAACCCATCTCATCTACTTCATGATGATTAATCAATGTGTATTGTTCATTTTGTTCTGTATTTGTGTAAATTTCTATGTCTCTATATCATTATATTTTATGTATTATATATGTGATGTCGTTTGCGTGTGGGAAGAAGAACCACATTTTGTATGTGTATAGTAAATTTATATGATTTCAAAAGACTCATTTCTAAATTCTTATACTACATTTTTATTGAGAAATTATAATAGGAATTTGAAATACACGTAAAAAAAAAAAAGGATAAACAGAAAATAAAGCAAGTAACATCCTCACTGTTATATTTAACTTTAGCTCAAGATTCTTGTTTGCTTGTGTGATAACTTTAAGACTATTTTGTATATATATTACTCAACCCATTCAGTGAAGAGAAAAAATAGAGAAATGAAATATTTTGTGTTCTCTTAGCTAGGCAAAAACAAAGTGGAGCAATGCGTTGATCCAAGACTACTCGGAGACTACCCTCCCAAAGATGTTGCCAATGTATTAATCCAAAACTTAACATTTGGTTTTCCTCTTATTGTTTTCATTGCAGCATCAAAGATTTAACTTAATGTATACTGAGAAGACTAGTTTATCTACTGACATTAGAATCGAAGTAGCAAATCAAAGTTCTGTTCTTACTTACTCTTTCTTGCAAATGCCAAAGAAAACAATCGATAATTGCGATCCGCATTCATCTCTTTGACAACTAAAACAGTTCATGAGTCTGATTTTATTTGCTATATGGATACCGGTACGATGTAATGATCAGTTAGCCGTGTTGGCCGCACATTGTGTGGGTGAGCAACCAAAGCATAGACCAAACATGAGCGATGTGGTGAATGCACTTCAACCTCTTTTAAAAGCTCCTCGTTCTGCTTCATGATGATTAAATTTTTCAAGACCTGTGTATGTTTCTCTATATCATCAAATTTGATGTTTCCTGTGATGTAGTTCGTGTGGGAAGAAAACTCATTCCTAAATTCTAATACTACATTTTATTGAGATGGTGTTTTGCTACATTTCTAGATTTTATAATTGTGGTTCTACTTCAATATTTTTGTATCGTCAGTCTTTTTTGCTGTTTTTGTATGGTCGATTTTAATTTGCGAAAACATTTAATACTTACAGATGTATAAACTAAAGTTAACACGTGAAATTAATCATATACTCGACGATTTATTTGATAAGTTAAATCTCTACATAAAAGAATAATTTATTATGAAAAAGAAAAACAGATAAGCAGAAGAAAAAAACAAGGAGAAAATTAACTCTACAAAAAAAGTCTACGGCGAGATGTACAAATCTTATACTATTTTTTGAAATCTTCATTAATCTTTTCTTAATTATATTGAGCAAAACTCGAATCTAATCCAAATTGAAACATCAAGAACAATTTCCAAACCATAAAATCATTTTTTCCAATTTGTTTGATACTTATTTTAATTAATATTTAATTCCGTGTCAATGCACACATCTAGTTTGTATTATATACGTTATTATCTAATAATTTTTCGTATTAAATAAGTATATACAATTTTTATTTTTAAAAAGATGATAGTATTATAGTTTTGGAACACAATGGGCCCATTATTCAGTCTAAATAACTAATTAAAAATAAGCCGAAGTAAGTCTCCCGTCAAGGACATAAAACCATAGCCGTTAGATCAAAGATTTACGTCCTGAAAATTAATCTCCACCGTCATTAATTTCACCAAATTCATTATTTCTCTTATTTAATATTCTCTAGAAAAGTTATAATAATAAATCTCTCTCTCTCTCTCTTTCTTCCGATATGCAGAGAGAGCATTATATGCACACAGTAGCAAGCTCTCTCCCAGTTTCTGACTCACTTCACCTGCTTCATCGATTCGCCATTGACGCATTTATCATCTTCTTCATCGGAAAAAATTCTTGGAGTTATCGGAAAAAGTTTCTTCATCTACTACGGTGTTCGTATCTGATCCCTTTCGCTATGTTAAACTAGATTCACACGTTTGTTCGCAAAGCCGAGATTCGCATTTCGTCTTCTCATTTCGAGGTATTTGTTTCTCCGGATCTGATTTTGTGATCTCTCGATTTTTCCTTAGTGATTTTAGGATTTTTTGGGGGTTTTTGTGTGTGTAAACTTACATCTGAAGTTTTCCGATTGATTTTGTTTTGGATTTCAGATTTCGTTTATGGAATCTCTGAATCTTATGTTGCGTGTGGGATTTTACTTCCCTATATTGTGACTATCGAAGAAAACTGTATCTACGGTGATTGCGGAGAGGAGAGAAAATGGCGAAGATGATAAACAAGACGCTTGTACTTACCTATATCTACTTACTGATCTACATTCTTCTTTCTTCTGGAGTTATACTGTATAACAAGGTGATTGCGGAAACTACTTTACTTGTTTATGTAGATCTTCTTCATATAGTTTGTATAGCTGTTGGATTTTGCATGTCGTAGGTTGTATAAACTAGAATTTGATGTTTGAATCGAATGTTGTGTTTATGAAATGACACTTTAGCGGAAGATCTTTGTGCTGTAGAGTAGTACTCTTTCATAGTCTTTGTTATTGGCTATAGAGGCTGAGTTTATTAATTAGTATCTATCGATTTTGGATTTCATTTGCAGTGGGTTCTATCTCCGAAATACTTCAATTTTCCACTTCCTATAACATTGACAATGATCCATATGGGATTTTCTGGATTTGTGGCTTTCCTTCTTATTCGAGTTTTCAAGGTACAGCGTTTACACTTTCATTCAAGGGAATGTTACATATGTCCACTTGTTTGGAGTATGCTCCATGCTCGTCTTATGCGGAGTACTCCTTATAATAGTTAGGTAATAAGTATCTTCTTTGTGATGTAGGTTGTCTCTCCTGTTAAAATGACTTTCGAAATGTAAGCCAGCTTACTAAATTTCTTTACTTCATTTTTTGGCTTCTATGTACTTTCCATAATCTCTTTTTTTCTTTCTGAACATATTTTCTGGACTCCAGATATGTGACCTGTGTGGTGCCTATAAGCGCATTCTTTGCATCCAGTCTCTGGTAAGTTTTTGTTTCATATACAGTGGCATATATTAGGTTTATAGATACTCTCTGTCCTAGACTCCTTCTACTGGAACTTTCAAATTCTGAATTTTTACATTGCTTGTCATACCTGCTGTCTGAATTGTCTCTTGAGTATTCTTTTTACTCCTTTTTACAGGTTTGGAAATACTGCATATTTGCACATTTCAGTTGCCTTCATACAGATGCTCAAAGCACTAAGTATGTGAAAACACAACTTCTTTTTTGGCTCAAAACCTATATTAGTCTCTTAATCTGTGATCATGTTGCAAAGCTTTTTAACACGTGAATATGGAATGACAGTGCCAGTAGCAACATTTCTCATGGCCGTTGTTTGCGGCACGGACAAAGCAAGGTGTGACGTGTTCATGAACATGGTGCTGGTCAGTGTTGGAGTTGTAGTATCTTCCTATGGGGAAATTAATTTCAATGTAATCGGCACGGTCTACCAGGTCATGGGAATCTTTGCTGAAGCACTTAGACTGGTGCTAACTCAAGTTCTTCTTCAGAAGAAGGGCTTGTCATTGAACCCAGTCACCAGCTTATACTATATAGCTCCATGCAGGTACGCAGTTCTGAAACCTAACACGGCTCAAACCTTTCTTATCTGAATATCAGCTTAATAGAAAACTTGTACTACCACTTCGTTGACTTGATGCGACCTCGTGTTCTTGTTGTCTTATATTGTACTAAGTTGCATCACTGCGCATGTTTTCAACACCATGTATTATTTCTTGCTAGATGCAAAGAATCTACTCTACTGCACATTAAACATTCAATATTTTTCTTGATTTTGTACAGCTTTGTTTTCCTGTCCTTGCCTTGGTATGTACTGGAGAAACCGAATATAGATGTCTCGCAGATCCAATTCAACTTCTGGATCTTTTTCTCAAACGCTCTCTGCGCACTTGCCTTAAACTTCTCCATATTCTTAGTAATCGGAAGAACAGGCGCTGTAACAATCCGGGTTGCTGGGGTTCTCAAAGACTGGATTCTCATAGCCCTCTCCACTGTCATATTTCCTGAGTCCACAATCACTGGGCTGAATATTACTGGATATGCAATAGGTTTGTTTCTTCTATCAAAAAACTAATTGGATGAGCTAAAATGTTGTGCACTGGTTAACTATCTTCTTCTTGTCATATGTGTTTGGTGCAGCGCTCTGTGGTGTTGTAATGTACAATTACATAAAAATCAAGGATGTAAAAGCGATTCAACCAACCAGCGACAGCCTCCCAGATCGAATCACGAAGGTACAATCCATTAATCTGTTTACTGAGTTTACTCATTCATTCAATAGTTCTGAAGAGTAGAAGGGATGTTCAATCCAGGTCCAATTCGGTTTGTCGGTGTACGAATTGTAGTCACCAAATTAAAACCTAATCTTATGTGGTTTTGTTAGAACGGTAAAAGATTAGAGTTAAGAGATAGCGAGAGCATCACCAATGTATATTCATATGGATTTTGTCCAAATGATTGAGCAGGATTGGAAGGAGAAGAATTCTTCAGATGGGGGGAGCCCAAGAGGATTAGAGCTTAATGATGAAGAAGCCCCTCTGATAACATCGCGGTTGTCGCATATCGGGCGGACTCAGCTTGGAAACCACACGGCCGTCTGAGAATGACCCTTATGTTGTTTCCCTTCTCAGGTGAAAATGTGTTTTATCTCTTTTGAAACCCAAACCTTTTAAATAGAATTTACCTCGGATTACTTAACATTGTTAGTTCTACAAAAAAGAAACGCAAAATTATTTGTAGGGTCTCTGAAAGTTATAAATGTTTTCACTAGACAGCGTTAGCCCCGGACCCGGCCTTGGTCTACTCTTTATGATCCAAACAGTTCTGAGTGTGTGGCCCTGGATTTGATATTTTCCCTTTCTATATTAGCTGGATATACTATAAATTTTGTTAAACTGAATTAACAAATTTGGTGGATCATTATAATGTTGAAAAAATGAAGGGTAGAACAAAATAAATTACTATAATGATTACGAGTGGCTTCTTAGAGTCTTGGACAATAAGATGGATCTTATAAAAATATGTTGAACTTGGTATAAAATTATACAACATGTGGTCATAAGTTAAAAAGAATGATGATATATGATACAAAACTCTAATCAAAGCTCAGATTTAAATGACATAAACAAGCCCCCTTTCATGAAACTGCGCACACGCAACAGCAAGTGTAATATGCACCAAACATTCCCTCTCGGCCCTGTCAAAAGGCTATTCTCTGAAGTACAAGAGCTTTCTCGATTGCGCTGGAGGAGCTAGTCCAGGGATGTCTCTGATATCTTTGTTGTTTGGGTTCACGATCTGTTGTTTTATTTTAACAGGGTCGAAACTTGCTTAAGGATTCATATTTTTATTTGGGCCGTAATGACAAAAATGGAAGAGAGCAATTGTGATTACCTTCACAATGATTATGGCTATAACACCACAGACAATCAGAAACAGGAACGCCATTATGCATTTATCGGTAGCCACCTGAGACAAGAAAGAATTAAGGATTACAAGTTTGGTTAGGCTCTAGAAATTAGCTTTTCAATTATTATGATCTTAAGTTAATTTCTTTCAAACGCAAGTCGCACTAGTTGTAAAAACGTTTATTTTTTCTTTGAATATAATTTAACATTACATTCAAAAAAAAAAAAAAAACAAGAAAGAATTAAGGTTAAAAGGGAACTTTGAAGTGTGCCAGAAAATTAAGTCCTATGACTATGAGAGATTATACAAACCTGTCTTCCTATCTCTTTCACCAGCTGCGAAGCTTTCTTGATAGAGAACTGAATTGTGTCTAGGTCGTTTACAACGCGGCCCATTTGATCTGTCTGAAAAATTTTAGGTCAGCATATTTGGAACTGCACCTCATAAGAATATCGGGAAGAAATGGTGAATGCTTTGTGTTACCTGTCCCTTTAAATTAGATGCAGTTTGAGTGCCAACTTCGATCGTCTGATGCACAACCTGGAAAGAAACACCGGATGTTAATAGAGATATAGCATCAAAGACTGAGTGGTATACATATCTAACTGTATCTTACTTGTTTAGAGCGTTCAATAGCCTGGTCAGTCTCGTCCATCCTTTTCATTCCAGCGTCGACAAGCTCTTGGTTTGACATTGCTATATATAATAAGCAATAAAACAAGATTCAACCTAAAGTTCCACATTTTTTCTACAGGATAGTTCTTCAAGGACAATTAACGCATGTAGATATCATATCAGAAATCCAGCCCCATATGATCCTCCACTAGAACTTTACTAACACATCAAACCGCCAACATAAACCCATTAAAAGGTGAAATAGGTAACCGTTACAGTCCTATATTACCCTCCACTAGAAACTTACTGAGACACATCAAATGATGCCAGACCATTAGCCCATAGTGCACGATTAACTATCCTACATATTCTAATATATGTAGGCAGCAAACAGTTTAAGCTTCCAATTTATCAATTTTGGACTTTTTCTGGTTGCACAAGAAAATCAACTGAATAGATGACCTATTTATTTTAGACAGACTCACATGAAGCCATTTGGACGTTTTCTTCAGCTGTGGGTTCACCGCTGACTCCAGCTCCCGTATCAAAAAGTTCAACTTTCTTGTTGCCGAGTGTATTCAAGTACCTGAAGCCACACAACAAATAGGCATGTATTAACACATACCGATTCAAAAAAAAACATAAATTTGCTAAAAGGACTGGTATATGAGAAATAAAAAATAGGGACAGACAATGCAGCTCCTTGGAAGTGGACGTACTTACGTTTTTCTTAGTGCAACATAAGAGTTGAGTTCCTTAATCTGTCACATAAATCACTGGAAATATCAACAAACAAAATTTTGTAAAGACATAACAACCAAATGCTAGCAAGAAATTTTGGGAGAGAAATCGAGAGATTCACACAAAAATCCTCAGAATCTATATTTATATACCACTGACTCAACATGCTTTTCGATGGTGACCCAAAAAACAAATGAGGTGGGAAATTTGCACTCTTAGGAGCTACGTTACTATTCCAATAGTTACTTCATATATATCACACACTAACGCAAATTTAAAAAGGATCATGGCCTCCATAGATTTCATCGACACAGATTATATGTAATAAGAAGTAAACTCACCATAGATTGTTTCTCATCATTCAATTGCTTATTTACTTCAGGGGAATTTCGAGCTTCCCCATCTTTGAGTTCACGATCAAATTCCTTAACCAACCTAACGTGAAGCACATTACATTAGATAAATATAAATTCTTGAAGCGCAGAGATTAGAAAATCGTTGATCACCAAAAAAAAACTCTTTTCTACTTAATCACCAAGTGAACTTCCACAACATTAGTCCTCGTGAAAAATTCAATCCCTCATCTAACACCGGAAAGTTCGAGCAGTAAAAAGCCCTTATCTTGGAGAAAAACAATACCGTTTACAGTCTCTCATCTTCTCAGCAAGTTCTTCGAGTTGCTTGCTTTGTCTATTAGAATCCTTGATCTTATCCAACCTCTGGAAGCCATTCCTGCATATAGATGTTGAATCTCTTTGTTAGAGATAAATCTTAAGAATTATGCCTCTATAAATATCCCTTATCTTCACCAAAACACATAAAATCCATTGAAAATATTCCAATTTTTTTTTCCTTTCAACAAAATATCAAACTCTTATTCTCGTCTGTGAAACTCAATTTCAATGTACTAACGAATCTATTTCCCAAAAACTAGTAAATTCGATAATGTACACTCGCATGAGAAACTACGTAAAGAAAATTGAAGAGAGAGAGAGAGTCAGGAGAAAGCATACGCGAGGGCTCGGAAATGGTCACGAATTTCTCCGTGAATCTGCTCTAAATGAGGGCTCATCGGCAAGTCAGACGCCATAACTGCCGGAGAATTTCAGATTCCGGCGATAAAAAAAAACAAACCCGGAACTTCCCCTCCAAAAACAAGTCGACGAACCCTAAGAGCAGACCCAGAAATCCTTCCCCCTCAAAAAAAACAAAGCTTCACCGCATCAAAATCATCCCAAAGAACCGAATAAATAAACCCTAATTTGAAGAAGAAGAAAAAAATGGAAAAAGATCGGAGAACGAAAACGCGGCAGAGCTCCTCGAACAGAAAAAAAAAAAGAAAAAAAAAAAAGAAAAGAGAATTGAGTCAGTGTAAGGCTAATCTCGTAATTATTTTGTTGTTTTGGGAAAAAATAAACTGAATAAATAATTATTTTATTTTAAGAGACTACAAAAAAGAAAGAGATTTGACAGCGAAGCTCCACCATGTTTAGATATAGCCGTTTGATGAAAATATTGAAAATGTCGTCCACATTATGTTACTAGTACACTCTGTCTCTAGGCCTACACAACCTCTAACCAATTAATTCAATTTCGAATCATTCCTTTTACTTATTCACATAATCACGTCTATATATAATGTCCTTAACAAGATCTACTACAATTGGTTTATATGATATGTTTGATTTCTTTCTTGTACTATACATCTTTTATGAACACCAAGTTGCCTTGTGTCTATCTCTTAGGATTATAATCTATGATTGTAATTAACCTAAATTTTTATCGTTTTTATGAAATATTTACATTCTTAGCAAAAAAAAAAGTTGTTTTGTAGTGCATTAGGAATTCTATAAACACACCGCATCATTACCAATCATATGAAAGTGAAACAATCCATTTTTGTTGTTCTCATTTTTGTTGTTGCAAATGCAGTTACAATTCTTGTTTTTGTTGGCTCTGTCTCCGAGCACAACGTATGTGAACATTCAGTGTCTATTCACTACTCTCTTTGAAACTTCAACAAGACAGTTATCGAAAAATCTCTGATCAGACAATATACCAGCTAGAAAACTGTGTTGTGACGAGACTACTCCAAAACTTAACATTCTCCTTGCACATGATACAACATCATCATTGTAAAAGTAATTAAACCACTCCAACTCGGAAACCGGGAAGACCCATGTCCCTTGAGAGATTTTTAAGTTCGTAGGATTAATCTGCAATTTTATCTTTCATATATGGATTTAGTTTTTGGCTCTTATCTAAAATTTCAAAAAGATAAAAATGTTGACGGACAATATTGGTATTAAAAAATAAAACAATTAGAAAAATTATTACGATGGATTAATCCCAAAAATATGGATTTTGGTTTTTTCTTTGAAAATTTGTAACAACACACAAAAACTAGATTCCCCATTTTTTTTTCAAAATTTTGAATGGTTATAAAGTAGATTTTTGAAAAAACTAAAACCAAAAACCACAAGCAGAAATCTTTTGAACTTTGGCTGTATATATATATATATATACATAAATCTAGTTTTTATTTACAAAATTCCAGTGATCCTGAACATTGGACATGCCTCTAGCATAGCATCCCGGATTCAAATTTTAGAATAGGCTGACATATTTTCTGTTATTGGCTACGTTAAAAGCTCCTGTACTTGTGATGATGAGCCCAGTTCAGTCAATAATCTCTCGTACAACTGCATCAACCGATTAAAACCAGAAGTCATTTTGGGTCAAGATTGATTAAAGATAGACACAAAGATCAACTATTGTTACAATAGTACATTACCTGTTTATATAGAGATGAATCGCCATGTAATTTTCTTAGTTCAACCACATTCAGGGACGGGCTTATCTCGAAAACCTCAGCTGTTACTGATAAGCCACATCTCCCTTTTTGAGTGTTTTCTTCTTTGATTGCTTTTAACTGAAGCAACATCAGTTCCCAAACCACTTAAATTACTTACAAAACATCAAGCTAAGTAGCAGACAAGAGCAAGAAGAGAGCAAAAGAGTCAAAAGATCTCACCCTTGCGTGTTTCTTCTGTAAGCAGAAACCCATCTCTGTAAAGATCGTTTCGATTTTCTCCAACAAATCTATGGCTAAGCTATTTGACGTGAATCTTATCTGCCTCTCTGATACTTTCTGATCATGAAACAAAAGTAACAAACGTTTATTGAGAGCAAAGGACAATCTTAAAACAGAGTAAACGTGGACAAGAATGTATGGTTAGGTTACCTCTTTCTCAAAGAAACCTGAGAGGTTGAGAAACGAGGACATTCCAATCAACTTAAATGCGTTGATAATGGTTGGAGAATCAGGGCTCTTCTCTTCTTCAGATCCCTTCATCATAAAAACCAAAAAAAAAAAAGACAAGACTTTTCGAGTAAGGCCAATGCACTTGATCCAAATTCCTAGGAACTATATAGCATGCATGATGAGATGAAACAGATTCTTACATCTTCTTGGATTAAGTATGCATCATCATCATCATCGTAGTTTGAAGGAGTGTAGTCATGTTTAAACCAATCATTAGCCTTAATATTTGCGATTGTCATCCTGGTGACTGGATTTGGATCAAGCATTCTCTTGATAATGGTTTTAGCACCAGGTGATATCCATCTAGGTATTGGGGGATCCCCTTTGAATATCTGGAAATATTATAGCTTTGAGTGTGTTTCTTTAGAAACAAACTAAACAATCAAAAAGAGATTAAAAAAAAAAAAAGAAGAGTTGGTACCTTCCGGCAAATAACTGCAAGGTTAGCATCATCAAAAGGGAGACATCCCGTAAGAATAACATACAAGATTACTCCACATGACCATATATCTGATGCTGCACCATCATAGCCCTTATTAGCTAGAACCTCAGGCGCGACGTAGTTAGGACTACCACAAGTTGTATGTAGCAACCCATCTTCCTAACATGTCCAAAACCAAACAAAAGTTTGAAACATGTTTTGCTGATGTATATATAGGTTTAGACTATTTGGTAAGTACCCTAATATGTTGAGGCAAAGCACTAAGGCCAAAATCAGTGATCTTAATGTGACCCTTTGCATCAAGAAGAACATTCTCTAGCTGCAAAACGAGAATTCGATATCAAATCATGTGGTTAATACAACAGACAGATTTTGAAGCTTTCATGGGTCAAGAAAATTTGTAAACATAGACCTTGAGATCTCTGTGAAAAACTCCCTTGTTATGACAATAGCTGATTCCATCAATCAACTGCTGAAACATTTTTCGTCCCTCTGTTTCGGAAAGCTTTCCTTTGGAGACCTAAGACATCAGAGCATATCTTTAGACTAGTAAATTTGGTATATAAAAACCAACCTCATGCTAATTACTAACAAAACCGTCACCGGAGCTAATAGGAATCTTACAATTCTGTCAAATAAGTCTCCTCCAGTGACACATTCCAGAACCATATAAATCTTGGTTTTGCTAGCCAAGACCTACAAGTGGACAATAAAGAATTGGCATATCAAGGAATTACAATATGTTTAGGAAGACTTTGGTAAATTACGAAGAACCAAAGTAATCTGCATTATCAAGAAATTTTCCATTGTCAAGAAAAAACGAGGACCAAGTCTCCGTTAATTCAAAATCCAAAACCTTATATTGGTTGCTTGCAAGAAAAGTAATCGTCAATGTAGACATTCTGGTTTTGAAAAATTTAGAAGTCAACCTCTATCGTTCCAACAAATACCATTTGGAAATGTAAACGTGGGTTCACGTAATTGAAATGTAGAAAACGAGTTTTTTTACTAGATTTAATAGTTAATTTCTTATGAGGTAAGCATGAAAAAGATTGGAATTTGATCCCAAGGATAAGGCAATGGTGACGATGATTGCATTGCCATTGTCATTACCACAAATGGGTCAATTTTTTGGGACCTACTTCATTATTGAACTAGTCATGGTCATGAAATCTATTGTCTACCAATGAATGGTCAGGTATTTTAAAAAAATAATTGTTGTATACGTTAAGTAGCGCTAATAAGCAACATGAAAAGGCAATTTCGTGGTCACGAATTAAAACTTAGTTACAAAACAAAAACAGAACGAAAATTAAAATATTAATTTACCGAAATGACGGTTAACTTTTTAAATATACTTCTACCGTTCTACGCAATCTAACAAAAGAGTTTCAAAGATTAAAAATTAAGCAACGATTAATTACCTCATGTAATCGGACAATGTTTGGGTGCTTCAAAACTTTGAGTGTTCGAATCTCTCTCTTGATCTATAAAATCACAAAATCAAGAGTAGGTAAGAGTTCACATCCACCGTTAATCGAAAAGAGAGATCAAGATCGAAAATGGAAACCTGAAAAGATACGTTAATACGAGTGATACGCGACTTATCGATGATTTTGATGGCGAATGGTTCGCCCGAAAGAGTATCTATAGCGAACTTAACCTTTGCGGAATTTCCCTCTCCAAGTGTCCTCCCAAGCTCGTATTTACCAACTCGCATTCCCTTTATCACCATCCAATTCAGGTTCCCGATAATATAGAGAATCAAAAGCAATATAGATTGATCAAAGGAGAGACTAAGTTAATAAGTCTATGGCTGTGTTTTTATATATACAAAGAGTGGCGGCTGGATATGGAGAGAGGAACACGGCACTATCCCCTTTGCTTCCTCCTTCTCCCTTCTTCTCTATTTATTATGTTCTAGATTAATTTTTTTTCTTTTTCTTTTTGGATAACAAAATTTCCATAATTAACAAAAAAGAAAAGAAACTTCCATAACAATTTTTAGAAACAGATAAAACTATATCTATGTTTTTAGTTTTAAATTATTTATTCCATATATAGTCCATATGATTATTATGAAAAGATATATGTCTTTTCTATTTCTAGAAATATGATTAAGATAGTTTTTTTTTTTATTATGGTTTTTTTCTTTTTCTTCAAGGTTTATTTCCTTTGCTATCTCAATTTAGTGATATTACACCACATTTTATTTCTCACTAGGTTCCCACTCGTAATGTATTTTTTTTCCCCTCAACTCGTAATGTATTATATTAGAGATGAGTTCATGGTTTGATGTAAATTGCAGTAAAAATTATGTGGTATAAAACGTAGAATTATGTGGTAAAGTCTACTCTAAAAATATGAGTTACATCTGTTCTCAAAATAATTACCTTGTAATTTTTTTGTTATAAACATTGATGAACGTATTATTAAAAATATATTATTAATAATAACATCTATAGAATTGTTAATAGAAATAAATTAAATTAAAGATAAATAAGGTTAATTTTAAAAAAAAATTAACGGCTTTGAAAATTTGTTTTTAACATAGTAATTCGATAACCTACTTACAATCTCATCTTTTTAAATATAAGCTTACAACTTTTCTTCATTTCAAATTAAGACAAAAGAAAATAATTTTGGCAAAAAAATAATTTTTTAAAAAGCAGAATTTTCCTAAAAAGGATTAAGTTAAATTAAGATAGAAAATAATTCTTATCATATTATTTTTTAATTCGAAAGAATTAAAACGTATTTTCATTATATATAATTAATAAAATTGTTAACTCAACCCACCACATCTGAATTCATGATAATTTTCGTGTTTGTGAGTGAATTTTTTATTAAGGATTTTACAAAGAAGATAACTCAAATGTACATCTGTCTATATATAACTATATAAGAGATATTGTGCCAAAAATTTGTTTGGACATATGTTTAGGATTTCAGATTTCTCATACGTTTAACACTAGCAAGACCCGTGTAACTTAACCATTTTTTGTTCGTTTCAACGTAGTTTTTTGGTTATATTGGATAAATTCATTTTTTTTTTGTTAAATTCGGCAATCAAAATTCTCGGCTAACCAAAATAATTTTAAAATTTTGACAATCGGTTCATGACCTATAACCGAAACCAAACCGAACATTTAAAATCTCGTCTCGATTCAATTATTTCGGTTCGGTTATTTATCTTAGGGCTACCAATACTCCTCGTTTTCGTCTACGTGGTAAACCAAAGAAAAAGTTAAATTAGTCGTGTTATGAACTGTACAATTTGGGCCGCATGGATCCATATCTCGGCCCATTAATGAACTAGGGTTTCTTTATTTTCTTCGACCTATCTACGCCGATTTTTCTCTTACTCATCTTCCTTCTTTATAAAACCTTCTCTTTCTTATCACAATCTCAATCTCTTATATCACCTTTGAAATTCCATTGCTTCTCCTGCTAAAGCTTTGATCAGTCCTTCTCTCTGCTTGATCTCGGTTTTTAGACCCAGTTATTGCGTCGATCAATGCATTGAAAGTGACTACATCGGGGTTTTTTTTTGCTCTGACAATCTAATCGATATGATGAAGATGAAAAATTTAATCAACCCCGGTTTAGTCACTTTCACTGCATTAATCAATGCATTTGTAAATAGAGGGAAAAGCTTTTTTCATTGAAATGAATGATCTATGTGTTTTTATTGATTCTGATGTTATCAATTTACTGATCGATTTTATTAATAAGTTTCGCATGATGTGTTTTTGTTTTGTTCTATTGTTATTATTTAGATGCGAGCAAGTTTTTAAAGGGTAAAATTCAGTTGAAACAATAACAAAACTAAAAAAAAAACAGAACCAAGAAAAGTGATTAGGAGGAGATGTGGTGATTCGTGTAATCTATATTAGTACCATTTAAGATACAATTTGTTTCAAGTATAATCTATGTGAGAATGTTTTTAAGGCATCAGATTTCACCTTTGTCTCGAAGAGCATATTTGTTCTGGTTATAGTACTAGAAAAGTTTGTCACCATTTTTCGTACAAAAAAGCATGTTGTACTTTGTTTGAGATTGCATCATTTGTGTACACATGCAATAGTTCCTTTGATCTCTTGTGTCCATGTGTGTAATTCTGACCTTTATTTCAGGCTTATGTGAAGATCTCAATTTGCCTAGATTGCATTCTCTTTATTTCAATCCAAATCCAGTTTTGTATGAAAGATCATACTTGATGCGTTAAAATGTGGACATAGATGTGTAATTGTCATTCTTTCATATGATAATGTAATTTTTGGGGACTTTATACTTTTTTGTTGACTATTTATACTGAATTGTTGTGGATATACAAATTCTAAATCATGGTCGACCGTCGACGTCACCCATGCTTCCAAAAAGGTTCATGTTGTTACAAGTTCCAAATAGTTTTGAATTGAATATGATGTTCCTTGTCTTTTACTCAGATGCAAGGCTCAAGAACCTAACGAAAGACGGGGCTGAGATCGAGAGCTTCAATGTAATTATGTAAATAAATGGAGATGAGAGATCTTAGCCTAAAAACACAACACACACACACACACAAAACAGAGCATGCATTGGAAATAGAAAGGATTAATTCAAGTCTTCAAGTATATGAAGACGCTCTCACTCTGATCCATAAACATCAAATTAAAACATGTATCACCCTTCTTACTAAACCATTGTTCGGGAATACCTTTGATTTCACTCTGTCTCATATCATTGCTTTGCAGATCATAACAGAAAATTTGAAAAGGAAAATAATGAAATTAAATTATGTTAACTTAAACACACAAAAAGCATACATTAGAGCTGCAAAATGAATAATTCAAGTCTTCAAGTACACGACGCTCTCACTCTTATCCATAAACATCACACTAAAACGACGACTAGCCAACGATTCACCCTTCTTAGGAAACCAGTGGTAAGGTATACCTTTGATTTTAATCTCTCTCATATCATTACTTTGCAAATCATAACAAAGAATGTAAAACTTATAAAACAAATAATGTGGTGTCATTATAACCTTGCCACTTTGAGTTATACCTTTTACCTCCAAATTAACGTTTTTGACCAAATGCAGCTGACAAGGCTGCAAAACCAGAATCTTCCCCGACCATTCCTTGTTCCTGACATCTTCTAGGACCCATAAATTCACTGTACCCTTGTCTTCAAGATAGGTATGGTCAAAAACAGTTACTTTTCCGCCATATTCTATAAGACACACCTTCTCGATGGCTTTATGCAGTCGCACATCTCCTTCCTTAAGAGGTACTTGGATCATTTTGAACTCTTCAGATCTGATGTCGAAGCTCACAACCACATAATTATACCAATCAATCATAGCCAGGTAATATATAACCCCATTCAATGACAGTCCTTGTCTAAGAGGAAGGTGAGGATAAAAATCCGCTGGAGGCAAAGTCACCTTTTTCCACGAACCTCCAGGTTTTAGGTCAAAGACCCAATGGTCTGACGACATCGAAGGTACCCCAACTGAGCAGAGTACTTTGTACTGTTTGTTAACAGGGTCATGTCCAAAATAGTAACACCACCTAGATCTGTCTGGAGCGGACGTTTTGGGTTTTAATTTTATGGTGGGAAAGGTCACAAGTTGTCTGGTGGTAGGGTTATACATTCGCGGTTTTTTCAAAAATGTGTGGCACATGAAGCCACAAAGATTTTGCAATATCTGGCCTCCCCTATTTTCGATGGTCAGATCGTGGTCAACAACAAAGGAGGAAGATGGACTAGTAGCGCATGGAGCTAATGATAGGATTTCAGAGCGACGGTAGTCCTCGTAGTGTGATAAACAAATGTAAATTCGTTGAGATGGAACCGTAAGGAAACGGCTGGTCAAGTATGGAGAGTGGATGAGAGATGACCAGAGCTTTGAGACGCACTTGAATCTCATTAGGGTTTTAGAAGGCAATCTCGTCAGAATCTCTGTCACCACATCCATTGGAATCTCCGGTAGTGATTGGCTTCGTCTTCTTTTCTTCTTTCTCCACCGTTGGATCACTGATAGACGAAAAGACAAACCCATCTCATCAATCCCCACAGAGTTTCAAGACAGAGAGTCGTGCAGAGAAAGATAACGCCGTGATTTCTAGGGTTTTGAAGATTGATATGAAGTATATACTGGAGTATTTCCTCTTTAGAAACGGCGCCGTTTAAGTGTTTAGTATTTTCATAAGATCTTAGTAACAAAACTCTCCAACATTGTCGTGCAAGTTCGGTAACTTCAAATCAAGATCAGAAGACCTCGCAATAGAAAAAAATCATACAAAAAAATAAAGATTGTCAAGTTCGTGTTCCCAAAGAATGATTCATATACATTGACGACCTGTTGTGCATCCCCCTTCACCATATCTAAGAGAGAAACAAAACAAAAAAAAACGTATGAATTACCAATCTACATCCAAATGCTATTATCATTGCCGCCTTCTTGTTATTGGTCCATGAAATACATTGTTGAAAGTTAGTGTCATTGCTGGTCCTCGGTCTTGAGTGATACCATTTCGCTTCGCTGTTGTTGTTGCTGATGTAGAATCAGATGGCTTTTTGGTCTGAAATTGCTTGGAAGCCATCGATATAGCCGTTCTGGCAAGAATCTAGCAGACCAAGGGTTTCACGAAAATCAAGCTTCAATGATTCATGGGAATATAGCAAACCAAAGAGAATGGTGGTGACTTACAGTTCCAGTCTTTCATGGATTGCTCGACGCACTGAGCTGTTGAAACCATAGGCTATTGAATTGAACAAGCCCTGAAAATACAACATTCAGAACAGCGACTCGGGAAGAGCAAAGATGATCTTTGGAGAATTTTGATAACTTATTTGTTTGAGGGGTTTGCTACCATTAGTGCAGCTGTCCCAACGTCAAGAACTGAGAGCCAGAAGATCTTATGGCCTGGCTCGATGAAATCATGAATGCGGTTAATAGTGCCGAATGCCCATGATCCTATTAGAATGAGCGGATAGTATCCCCATCGGTTCAACACCTGTGGTTTCAGGAAACAAGCAGTGTGGTTTTAACGACGAAACAAATCCAGTCACATGAGACAGAACTAGTATTGGCAATATAGAAAATACAGACCTTTAACTCTGCTCTATTATCAAATTGATCGACTCGGTCTGACATTCCAACTGCCATCTGAAATTCACACATTGCCATATCAGCACACATCCAAGTGTATCAATTATGTTTTGTGACTACTTTCAGAAGACAATGTTATTAGAGATTAGAGGGTTACATACACGTCTAGCATTTCGTAGCATCCGTATCACCTGGAAGTAAGTAAACCCATTGTAAAGAATGGCACCCCAAAGAGGAGCGTAGAAAGTTAAGAAATGAACAGCCTGCAAATTCCAGAGCTGATATAAGTTCCAGTAACTCAAGAATTGAAAATTATAAGCTCAACTAAACATTCTCACTTGCCTTTCCCTTAAGACCAGTTTGCGTCCAGCACCATGGCCCTAAATGTGAGTGGTTATTACCAAAAGAACGTATGACAGTCACAACCAAGGAAGTTCCTGAGAAAAGTAACTAAAATCAGACTCTTATGTTACTAAACCACCAAAGCAGATACTAACACATTCTTATCCTTAAACCCAAGGTGGATATACTAACAATTGAGAATAGAAACCCAAGAGAATCATTTTACATACCCCAAACATATAAATGAAACATAGCTTCCAAATCCTCCACATCAGTTTTATGCTTAACCACAGTACGATGAAGAGTGAAAGCAATTGTAGTTGTCCACAAGAACGAAGCAACACAGAAGAAATGAGTGGTGTAGCCTTGTGCATAACAAATAAACCCCTTTGAAGGATCCCTACATTGATCAAGAGGTAACAATCATCTTCTCAAAAAAAATCTCAACAAGATTCACCAGAACTAATGGTAGTAGATAAACATACCCAACGATCAAGAAGAAACTGCAAAGCATATCCTGCAACAATCAAAAACGTTGCCAATAATCAGCGATAGAGCTCTCCCAGAACGCAATGTTCACATCGAACTTAGCGATTCAACAATCCACAGTGCAAAACAGTACAATAATCCTAGATCTGGAACAATCAGCGTCATGTGCTAAATCAAAAGACAAGAACGGGGAAACTTACGGAGAGAGCAAGGTAGAAGACGAGCTTGAAAGAGAATTTTCGAAGTTCTTTGAAGAGGCAATAGCAGAGAACGATGAAGGCTGAGCCGACGAATGAGAGACTCGAAGCGCCGGTGTTAATCGCCGTAATAATGCTGCGATCTCCGGCAGTTAAGCCTCCGCCGGCTGTGAGTACCGCCGACATTTCAAAACCGATCTGAGAGATTGATTTGACGTTTTCCGCGTTTCGTGTTCGTCGTTTCCGTCGCGTGGTAATTTTCCCCGACGGACGTTGCGTGGTGTGGTGGGCTAACCTCTCACCCGGGTCGGGTCGGTCGGGTCGGTCAGGTCGAGTTATGTCTTTTGAACCGAGCTCCTCGTAATACACTTCTTTAGGCCCAGCCCAAAGATTTTGTTTTTATATCAAGAAATTAGTAGCTATATTAATGAGAAATTGAGAATTCACATTTCTTTTTTCTTTTTTTTTTTCTCTTTTTTTTTGCTAATGTTATAATTTAATTTCATTCGAAATATATTTCTAAAATATATGTTTGAAGTCATATATGCTATAAATTAATTGATTAAAAAACATTAATATGATGTTTTTTACATGTCATGTTATCACATATTTTTGAAATTTTTAATTTAATACACGTAGGGATATTTAAAAAAAAATCTAAATTACTATATGATTATCTATTTACATAATAGCCTTTATATAGTCAAAGAAAAATAGTTCATACTTGAGGTGATTGAATGATACATTAGTTCGAAGTACTGGAAAAAAATATTTAGCTAATACTTACAAAATTCCTGGATTAATTCACTATCATGTCCGAACATATTCAATCTGGAAAAAAAACTTCTTGATTAATAACAACGGGTCGAAATTTTTATTCGTTCAACCATAAAAGAAAAACATGGTAAATATATAAATAAGCATATACTATGCGGCATAGTCTATGCCATACTAAATCATTGATATTGGCATAGATGACGCTGGAAATGTTTACTTCAATTGAGAGTTATACGGAAAAATACTCTTCCTCTTGGAACATGACCCATCATCTAATCCAATTTTCTGATTTGGATCATTTATAACACATGTCATTATCCTTTCGGTTTTATTCGATCTTTAGTAATAGTTTGCATACAAAAAGGGTACACCTGATTTTGTCCGTATTAAACTATTGTTTCATTCGTACTCCATTTATGAAATAGACGTCTACATATGCACAAGAAAACATGACTTACATATACATACATTTTTTTTGTTTCTTTCTTTTTCCTTATGCTTTAATTATTAAACTATATTTTCTTCCGGTTTCCCCAAGTTTTTAACCCTTCCAAGACATCTCTCGTACTACAATTGAGCTTATATTATTATTATATATAAGAAGTTCCATATAAGAAACCTATTCATATTCATTCCTGCAGAGATATAAAGAACTCACATATGTTACATGGACACATGAATATATAGATATGATATCATCGTAACCATGTATTTTTAGCTGCATGTGTAATCATCGATCGATTATCATCATCACTAAAGAGAATGTAAAGAGCTTTTTTTTTGGGGAAGACGACGACGATCACCAGTATTCTTCTTCCTTCTTCGAGAGTTTCATCTCCAAGGTACTATTTCTCTTTTAAGTTCTTTATCCCTTCATCTGTCTCTCCATTTAGAAACTAACAAGAGTAAACACCGATTTCATTGATCCACGGTTAATGTCTTTGTTTGGATATATATGGTGTTTTAGTTTCTGTTATAAATACAAACTTATCTCTTTTTGTTTCAAACCACAAATATCATCTGCAACCAAACTCATAGGTTTATAATCTTTGATTGTATTCCTAAACTTTTTTCATTTTCAATGAAATATTTACATTCTTGCAAAAAACCATGTTGTATATAATGATGTAATTATATCAAAAATGATGTAACTAACTAACTATGATGAGTTGATGACGTTTTACACATGTAATTAATAATTATACAAAATATTTTGCGACGTTAAGGAATTGTCGTTTCTTTAATCTTCTGTGTTTGTTTGATGTTCATGTTTCGAATGTCTTAGTATTATTTTTTTGGAGAACCCACTATATATTACTGTCTTAATAAAAAGTAAAACACAAGATTTTCGTGTTTTTTAATTTCACGATATACGTACCTCGTTTGCGTTTTTCTTAAAGATGCTTAGTAAAATATTATTTTTTAATAAAATTCTAAAGACATCATACTTAATTAATAAACACAAACAGATTTTTTTATTTTTTTGGCAACCATTCATCCATTTAAAAATAACTCTATGATTGGTAATACAAACCAAACAAAATAAAATTTGTTGGTTTAATCCGGAAAAACAAAGTATATATATGAAACATCGATAAATCATCTTCTACATTTACGAGATAAACAATATGCCTCAACATTTAAATAACATAATAATATCTACAAAATTGGTTTTACGAATATTTTACAACGCTCACGTATTTACCATCAATTTGATGATATATAATCTTTAATCATATGTATAGTTTTTATTTTCTCATTTTCATCATATATAATGATTTTCTTATCTAATTTAAGCTTGACCTTGCTCTTTTCTTTATCTTGTAAAGAAACCAATTAAATTACAGATAGTTGCGAGTAGATTTACCTAGCAAGGCAAAAAACTTCATAGCCCAATAATTTCCTTACTGACCAAATAATTTCTATATCATTATATCAAATTATGATCAAATTCTCCAAAATCTGCAAGTAAGTCAATAACTTAACTTGTAAACCAATGGTCACTAACAGCTTTGAGTTTGAGTATGATTAGGACATACTCTTCAGTCCGCAATCTTCCCTTTTGTCTTAAACATGTTTCTCAAGCTATTCTAATTTTAAAATTATTCCCCCACACCACACACATATAAATACGCTATTTTTCTTTTTACGTAATTTTAGTCATTACTAATAACCATACAACTTTTATTCCAAACATAATGGTCCCATCATATAAATGTCAAATGCTCTTTGTTCCATTTGCAGCTCAACATGAGACAAATTATTAGTGGGTCACTCGTTTAATTGATTCTTTAATATATTGCTCTATAATCTTGTTTTCATTGTCTCAACTATTATGTCATTTAGGTTCATACCCTCCTCAAGGATCTTGAAATTCTGTAAATTTTGTATAAACGTTTTTAGTTATGGTAAATCATTGTTTTATTTAAGGTAAATCATTGTACATTCTCGAAGTTTTTCAAAAGAAAATCATTTTTTTTGTTGGTTGCAGTTACACGCATACACCTATAAGGCTATAAGCTAATCGATACACACGACATCGTCTACTTCTCGTCGTCTTCTGAAAAAAAAAAAAGACAAAAAAAAAAAATTGGCCCACCACTTAATTCTTTTGTCTTATTCTCAAAGTCGTCAAAACAATTGGTGGGCCTCAAGCCCACTGTTTCCTCCAAACGGATCATTCCTCCGTTAGTTGCTTGATTAGTAATTATTAACTTTAATTAACTAAATACTTAAGAATTAGTTGCATAAGATTATTGAATTAATGATTGGTGATTAATATTATAGCTGTTGTTTTCTTGTGCGACAGCTTCGAAGTCGTCTCTTGGATTTTTACAAGTCAAAACTGAGTAAGACTTTAGCGAGGAGTCTTCTCGCCGGTGACCGCCGTATACGGCGGAGATTTTGTTAGTTATGTCACGCATTTCCACCGCCTCCACTACTCCTTCTCGTGTTAGAGCTGCGAATTCGCACTATTCAGTGATCTCTAAACCTAGAGCACAAGACGATAACGGTCTCACCGGAGGTAAACCGAAATCGTCCGGTCACGATGTGAAGAACGATCCGGCGAAGAACCGGCGATCGATTCTGCTTAAAAGAGCGAAATCCGGAGAGGAGGAGACGGCGGTTTTGGCTCCTCAGAGAGCTCGATCTGTGAATCGTCCGGCGGTCGTAGAGCAATTCGGTTGTCCGAGGCGGCCGATTTCTAGGAAAAGCGAAGAGTCGGTAATGGCTTTGGCGGCGGTGGCGGAGGATGAGAAGAGGAAGAAAATGGAGGAATTGGAGGAGAAGCTAGTAGTGAATGAGTCGTTGATTGAGGATTTGCAGTTGCAGGTTTTGAATTTGAAAACGGAGTTAGAGGAAGCTCGTAATTCAAATGCAGAGCTTGAGTTGAAGAACAAGAAACTTTCTCAGGATCTTGCTTCAGCTGAAGCTAAGATCTCATCACTTTCCTCTAACGACAAGGTAAACATCTGTTGAATTGACTTAGTGAGACTACGGAATTAGAATTGCTTTTGGTTGTTTCCATGATTCTGCTTCTGTACTTAGTTTAGGCTTATGATAAGATTCTAATCTCTCAAGTGTTTTTGGTTGAATCAGCCAGCTAAAGAACATCAGAACACCAGATTCAAAGATATCCAAAGGTTAATAGCTAGCAAATTAGAGCAATCCAAGGTTAAAAAGGAGGTAGCAGTAGAGTCATCAAGCTCCATTATAACAAGATCATCTCCACAACCACCATCACCTTCTCCTTCAAGATTACCGCCAACGCCGCCATTGCCGAAGTTTTTGGTGTCTTCAGCTAGCAGTTTATGTAAACGAGATGAAAATTCTTCACCCTTTGCACCACCAACACCACCGCCTCCGCCACCACCACCACCACCTAGGCCTCTAGCTAAAGCAGCTCGTGCTCAGAAGTCTCCTCCAGTTTCGCAGTTATTTCAGTTGTTGAAGAAGCAAGATAATAGTAGAGACCTTTCTCCGTCTGTTAATGGGAATCAGTCTCAAGTTAACAGTGCTCACAACAGTATAGTCGGAGAAATTCAAAACCGTTCTGCGCATCTCATCGCTGTAAGCAACCAAATTTTCTTTTCTGGACTCTGTTTACTTGAACCTGAGTCTTGGCTAATCTCATCTGACACTGATGAGCTCCAATTTCTTCATCAGATAAAAGCTGATATAGAGACAAAAGGGGATTTTATCAATGATCTTATCCAGAAAGTTCTGACCACTTGTTTTTCGGATATGGAAGATGTCATGAAATTTGTGGATTGGCTTGATAAAGAACTGGCAACTCTGGTAACGCCTAATTCCTCTTTTAACATTTTTTTACACAAGCGACTAGATTTTTCACATTTCGTTTTTGGTACTGAAACGAAAGTGTATCACTTAATCATAGAAATGATCGTTTCTGCAAACTTTATATAGACTTGATAAGTTTTGAATCATTACTTTTCTTATATTGCATGTACATTCCTCTTTGCCTATTGCCTTACAGGCTGATGAGCGAGCTGTGCTTAAGCATTTCAAGTGGCCTGAGAAGAAAGCCGATGCCTTGCAAGAGGCTGCAGTTGAATACCGCGAGCTAAAGAAACTGGAAAAAGAACTATCTTCGTACTCTGATGATCCGAGCATTCACTACGGTGTTGCCCTGAAGAAAATGGCCAACTTACTAGACAAGTAAAAGAACCCTAGTACTCATTAAAAGAACATTTTAGGTTCTCCAAAATGTTAAAAAATCTAAAATTTCGGTTGTGATAAGGTCGGAGCAGAGGATAAGGAGGCTAGTCAGATTACGAGGCTCATCCATGCGTTCTTACCAAGACTTTAAGATCCCAGTCGAGTGGATGCTTGACTCGGGAATGATAAGCAAGGTATTGTTTTCTTCATATGAGCTTTGTTTTGTCTCTAAGTAAATAGTCGATTACACTCTGTTTGTCCTCTGTTTAACATTGTTCTACTTCCGGTAATAGATCAAAAGAGCATCGATCAAGCTTGCTAGAACTTACATGAATAGAGTAGCGAATGAGCTACAATCAGCTCGTAACTTGGATAGAGAGTCTACTCAAGAAGCATTGCTTCTTCAAGGCGTCCGATTTGCTTACAGAACGCACCAGGTAATCTTAATATATAAAAGCATATGCTCGGATCGAACACAGTGCATGGGTGCTTGACATTTTGATCTTTTATATGTTTATTCAGTTTGCGGGAGGGCTCGATCCAGAGACATTGTGTGCATTAGAAGAGATTAAGCAACGTGTTCCGAGTCATCTCCGGCTGGCACGGGGGAATATGGCCGGAACTCCGTCGTAGAAAAGTAATCAGAGAAATGTGAGGCACATGGCCTTTGGTTTTGGCTATAAAATTCGTTATTTGTGTTAATAGTGTTTGGTTGAGTCAGTAAATGCTGTGTCCCACGTAATAATAATGTTAAAATGTATCTAAAATGTTCCTCCAATGAATTACTCAATTAAATTTTGTTTTTTTTTTTTTTTGTATGAATGTAAAATTATATTCACCAAAAAAAGACTGTTTTACAATGAATGCAATTTTAAAGCCAAATGTTCAAAAACTTTTGATAGAGAAATTCAACATTAGATGAGGAAACTAGTAATTGTGAGATTGGAACCTGCATTCCACCTTCGTAAGGACCTGTCAATGCCATGGTGCTTAAATTTTGAGCTACATAAATCATAAACATTTTATAAATTATTCTTTTCGGGTATTCTAATTAGTATATTATTTTAACGGATAAAAAAAAGGAAATTATATTAAGAAAATCTTTTGTTATAGATTCCAAATAGTGAATTAAGGTGTATCATGTAGTTAAATTTAAAATATTTTACCATTATGTACTTTTTGTTGTCTATGAATGTCTTTGGTAAAATTATTGTAGATTCTTGAAATAGAAAAAGTGATAAAGGTTTAATTTGTTCAATCGGAGTTGCTTAACACGACAACAACAAATTTTGCTGGTGGTGATAACTGGTTTTGATTCTGGTTTGATCCGGTTAAAAGAGAACCAAAAGCTATTTGTATTAAAAATTAATAAAAAAATTAAGATGATAAGGGTAAAATTGGAATTTTGTTTTTTTTGAAACCGTAAGTATGAAAATAACATTATTTATTTTTTTGTGTATTAATTTGCACGCTTTAATTAGTTTGTGTATTTTTTTTCTAACAAAACAAATGCAGGTATTAAACGTCTAAATAAAAAATAAATCAGGATTTTTTCCCTTTCTTTGTTAATATGTTTTTAGTGGTTATTCGTTTTGAAATCACAAAAAATCTATAAAAAAATTTTTGGTGCAGACGGAGTGGTCACTCGTTTTGAAGTCAGAAAAATATAAGAAGAAAATTATGTGTAAACGGAATGGTCACTCGTTTTACACTCATATTTTATGAGAATATATATATATATATATATATATATATATATATATATATCATTTTATTTATGGGTGTTTATTCAGGGTTTTAGATCGAGTCGGGTAAAAATAATTAGGATTAATAATACTATAATCAAAACCAAAAATAAGATATTGTTCTATGGTATACCGCGGATCGTACCTAGGGCTTGATTGGTTCTCCCGCTAGCACCCTCCTAGCGGTTGCTAGCGGTCGGTTGCGGTTGTTAGCGGTTGGTACCAATCATAGAAACCGCTCCGTACCGCTTCGAACCGCTCGAAATCGCTGAATTTCAAAAGCTCCTTCCCGCAAGCGTTTGCGGTTGCGGGCGGTAGCGGTTGGATTAAAAAAAAATCAAAAAAATCAAATGTTTACTTATAATTATTATAATATATATTAATCTTATATATATCTTTCATCTTTTTATCACGTTCTCATCAGAAACCCTAATAATATTCTGAAACTCTATTCTCTCAATGTCTTCCACCCAAACTGATGAAAATCAAGAACCAAACGTAAGTATCATATATCCTTTTATTCATTCATCACCTCATGTGTAACTTTTTGAATATTTTTCATGGCATCGTTTTTTTTCTTTTCATTACGTATTGCTTTGCTTTTTGATTGAATATATGTTTCGATTTGTTTTCTCGAATAGAAACTCACTTGCTTTTTAATTGAATTCAACATTATTTACAGTTTGTCTCATTACTTGATGCAATTTTTGATGTTAAACCAGATGCATAAAGTACTATCTTGTTACAAAATTTCTTTATTTTTGAATAATTATGTAGTACTTCATTTATAGTTTTAATTATTAAGCATGTTCAATTTTTCTAATATTATCATAATAATATATTGGTGTTTTTATTTCCTTTTTTGTAATATTTTTTATTTATTTTGGTCATTTTTTATTCAACTGCTACCGCACCCGCTGGTTTACCAGTCATAAAACTCTCGCAAACGCACCCATTTTCAAATGCTAAACCAGTCGTTCAAAACGCTTGGTAACGCTTGAAGCCGCAATCGCCCGCTTCCGCAAACTCCCGCAACCGCAACCGCAACCGCTGCGTTTAAACCAGTCAGGCCCCTAGTAACAATGTTAAAATGAATACTTAAGCTATAAATACAGAAATCATACACTTGTTAGAATCATATACCCTTTCTCTAATTTACCGATTCCATGGGTGTGATAATATCCTCCACTTTCTGTAGTCTTTCTCGAATTTTGGGCTTAGTTTCAAAAGCATCTTATCTTCATTGTGAGGCCCAAAGCGTTGGGTCAAGAGAAAGTAAGTAATTTGAGATCCGACGGCTGTGTAGGAGTGATTATAACATTAGGGCAAAAAGAGAATTAAATGTCTTTTATTGTTTCATGAGATATCACACAAAGTGAGAGGTTGCGTGAAGCGTGATCCACTCCACTTTTATCGGTTACCATCCCAACAATACCTAACCCAAAGTCACTTCTATTAAAAAATTTAGATTAGAGATAATAGAGTGAAAAAGTAAAATAAAATAATGGAGTATCTTATCATTTAGGCCCTGAATGTTTACTAGTTTTTAAGTGGTTTTTGGTTTTTAGATTTTGGTTTTTGGATTTTAGTTTTTAAAATTTTGGTTTTTGGTTTTTTGTTATACTATAAAAATTAATTTAAAAAATCAAAAAATCAAAAAAAAAAAACATGATTACGTTGAAACTAAAATTTTCCCCAAAATCCTCAAAATTGTGGTTTTTAGTTTCTCTTTGAAACTTGGAGAAACCACTCAAAAACTAGTTTTCCTAAATTTTAGGGAATCTAATTTTTTAAAATCTTGAATGGTGAAAAAATAGATTTTTCCACAAACAAAAACCAAAAACCACTTAAAAACTAGTAACCATTCAAGACCTTAGTCTGTTGTTTATCCTATTAAAGTATTAATCCTAATTTTTTAACCAACATGCATGGTTAGTGGCTACTACTTGCTTCAAAATGTCAAAAATAATTAAACTACATATATTTCTTTTTTGATAAGACTATATATATTTCTTAATAAATTTAAAACTGAATTTGAAATTATCTCAATAAGAAAATAACTAAAAATATTCGTATCAAGTTGCCCAAAATACTTTATCAAAAAAGAAAAACACAAGTTCCCTTAAAATTCCCAAATACAAGCTTTAATGATGCTAGTGTACAAGTGGCATATTCGGTTTTGTTTTATAATTTAAAAATTAAAACACATCTTATCGCTCCCGAAATTATTACTACGTGGCAAAGTTTCCACTAGATTGTCCACGTGGCAATCCGACATGTACCCTTGTCGCAACTTTAGACCGTTCATCTCTACCAAACTTTTAATCAACGGCTGAGATTCATCACAAGGCGCGTGTCAAGAGCGCGGGAAAGTGTGGAACTCGTGAGACCACAGGTGGAGAGCCTGAGTGCAACTCACGACACATTTAACCAACCAAAACACGCCACGTTACCTCTCACTGTTAAATTCTCTCCTGTAAAAGAACTGGCAAATCTCCCTCAACAAGGAACTTAGCCTTAAGGATTTTGTATAATAATCTTAATCGCTTAAGGCTCAAGTCATCAAGTTCCATTGATTCCACCTTTCAATTTCGATAATGGAAGTTTCCGGCGTCGTTCTCCGACAAATTCCATGTGTTTCTTCAGGTTCTGTTGCCTGTCTCCGATTAGTATCGGAGTTTTCCGGTAATACGAGAACGGTAGGGTTTCGAACCAAAAAGTTTCGTGGGATTGTGTGTAATAATGAGTTTGCGGATAAAGGGCACATGAGTTACTATATCGAGCCAACGAGATGCGGCGAGGAGAAAGAGAAGGTTAAGGTTATGGAGAAGGAGAAGAAGGCGTTGAAGAAGAAGGCAAAGGTTCTTAAAAGTCTCTCTAAGAACTTGAATATGTTCTCAAGTATAGGGTTTGGTCTTGATCCTGAATCTGGTTTGGTTGGTGAAATTCAGACCAAGACGATCACGGTAAGATTTTTTTATTTTTGATTTGACTTTTTCATGGTGAAGATTTGTTAGATTAGATCTTGATTGGTTTTATAATTGTTGCAGGAAGCAACAGAGATATTGGTTAAGCAGCTGGAACAGTTGAAAGCAGAGGAGAAGCTATTGAAGAAACAGAGGAAAGAAGAAAAGGCAAAAGCCAAAGCTATGAAGAAGATGACTGAAATGGACTCTGAATCATCTTCTTCGTCTGAATCAAGTGACAGTGATTGTGATAAAGGCAAAGTTGTTGACATGAACTCTCTCAGAAACAAGGCTAAACCGATTCTTGAGCCGTTACAACCGGAAGCACAAGTAGCAACCCTTCCTAGAATCCAAGAAGATGCACAATCTTGCAAGAACACCAGTGAAGCATTGCAGATTGCTCTGCAAACATCCACAGTCTTTCCCTCAATGGGCAATGTTGGACAGACATTGAAGACGTTAGAAGCGGTTTCAGTGGTTGGATTACCATTGAAGAGAGTAGAAGTGTGTATGGGAGGGAAGTGTAAGAAATCAGGAGGAGCTTTGTTGTTGGATGAGTTTCAAAGGGCGATGACGGGTTTCGAAGGTTCCGCTGTGGCTTGCAAGTGCATGGGGAAGTGTCGTGATGGTCCAAACGTTAGAGTCGTCAACGAGACTGATACTGTTATGACTGATTCAGTTAGGACACCGTCCAAGACCGTTTGTTTAGGAGTTGGATTGCAGGATGTGGAAACTATTGTGACAAGTTTCTTTGATGAAGAATGTAGCAGAGAAGGACTCGGTTATGTCTCACATTGAAAGTGTTTAAAAATGACTTAAGTGATATATAGTGTGGTGTTTTCTCTCATTGTAGGTCTCTGTCTTCTGGAAACGTTGAAATAAATAAACGTTGATATAAATCTTTTGCGTTAAGACCTGTAAAGATCAGCTTAATCAGGAACATCTGTAAGATACAAGCCCTAACGATCAATTATCTAGAAGCTACACTACTAAAGACCATTTGTTTGCACCAAACTATTACAAATGATCATTTTACCCAAAAAGGTCATGCG